ATTTATTTTCTTTCTATGCTACGCGATCAATCAACAAGGGAATGCTAATTTCTTTTGACGATTATTTTGCCAAATCGTCTTCGCGTTAATATCAGATGTAAATAAATTAACAAAAATCGCACAGATTTTTCTATTCGCCGTTTGTGTGGTGTCTATAACCTTGTTATTGAACTCCCTGCTCGGATTTGCGCTAAAGGGGGAAATTTTTCACAGCTTCCAACTAAGTGATACCCATTAAACCAACACCACAACAAAACAGGTGACAATCATATTTTTTCCACAAAAGAAACAATATTTGCCGCTAATTCAATTTATTGTGATTTGTGTTTATTTGCACTGGGCGGCGTTGTTTACATTGACCATTTCACAGTCATTATGGTCTCCGTTATATGGGCTATAATGCTAAGTGTCAACAGGAAAGTTTTTAAGGTTCTACTGGGAAACATCGGCTTCAAATCCCGGATGCGGCGATAAGAATTTCGAAAACCTTTTTATTAAATGTTCATATCTATCGAAGTATTTGTTAGCGCTGACATAATTCGGGTTCCGTATAAAACTCTTTTGCCGTCCTCCCAGTCTTCCAAATGGAGGATCGACGAGTTTCATATATAATGGATCCTCCTCGCAAGCACTTAGCGCCACCAAAAGTAGGAACATCAATAAAAAACTAGACATGTTGCGTTAAGTACCAATGCATTAATAATGCAGAACTTAAAACAAATAGCGTTGAATAGCAATTAGCAAGGCTTATGTTAAATGCAGCGTTAAATTTAAAGGTACGCCAAGAAAAAGTTTATTTGTTAGTTGTGCAGACGCTATTCTCCTTAAAAAGTTAAATTACAATACACTGGTTTTAATGCAAAATAAAATTTCTTAAAATTTAATCATTTTTCTATGGATATCCGTTTTCCGTGACTATATTTTTCCTTTGCAGTGAAATAAAAAAAAACCTGACACCGATCAATAGAATGGTATCGGATAAAATAAAACTAGACTTAAAAACTAGAATAGAAACTAGAATTTCTGCCGTGCTCGATATCTACATTTTATTTTGGGACACTTTTACATTTTTTCGTTTCGTGAAATTTTTTTTCCACTTTGCAAGTCTTTGGAACTATATGAAACAGTTTACAATTTTTTTTTTTTTGAACTACAAGCCAAAAAATAGTATGTACCAAGCTGTTGAAGATATTCCAAAATGTTATACATTCTTGATGGCCTCACAGTAACTGGATTTTTAATTTTTTTGTTTAATGTAAGTCTGGTTTAATAAGTTATTCGAATTGATTTAACCATTGCAAATTAAAAATAAACACTGCTTTTGCTGTTTTGGAAAAAGTAAATAGCTGACAGAAAAATAAAACCATAGCTAATAGTTGTATAGAAAAATTTAGTACAACTTTTTTGTTTAATTTTTGTTTTGTTTGTTATAAACTATAAACATGGAACCAATAAATTGGTAAAATGCTGCTCTGTCGAAACATAATTTTATTTATGTAGATAAAAAGGTTTCATTTTAAAATCATGTTAGCTATATGTACAATGAATTTTAATATATCACCTCCAGTCCGCCGCTTAAAAAATTAATTAAATTAGACATCCGAAGCTCATCACTGATCAAATTCATCACCCTTTCATCAGGCTGTCGACTGAGCTGAATGCGACGCCGTCAGAACAGACACCCTTTCTCAATCTAATGAAAACGAGACTTAGGTAAAAATGTATGATATTTAATATCTTATGTGAAAATACCTTTTACCTTACCTAGGTAACGATTTTTTTGTCTTAAAATTAGCTACTTAGGTATTTAGGTACTGAAATATATTTTGTTTTGTTTTGTATTCAAATTAGCTTGATACTACTTGATTTAATTTAATTTTATATTGTTTTCGCCAATATGCCAATAAAAATAGCATAATTTTACTTAAAATTGAAGAAAAGTTAATTATTAAGATATATGATGTATACATTTACTTTTTTCTACAACCAGACTTAATTGACAGAGCGTAGACAATATTATAATTCATGTACAACTTTGTGAAAGTTAAAAAAAGTATTAAATTGTGTTTCTTTTACCTTACCCAGGTACTTATTTTCTCAAATACCTTGTACCCTACCAAACTAGTACCTTTCCCAACACTGCTAGTGATGAATTTTTTGCGATGGCTCAGCGATTAAAAGGTAATGAACGGTACTGCAAAAGTGTTGTATCATATACCCTTAGTATTTTAATTGTAATAAATGAATGTTAAGTATTTTTAACAGCAATGGTATATATGTGGTATATTTTGGTGCTGGGGTGGGATATTTTTACCGGTCAAGCGCGGTCACACTGGCAAGCGCAAATGTGAAGATTGTTAACTTTTACCAGTAAATGGAATCAACGCGATAAAAATAAAGGACTTAAGGAGAGTTACTAGTAAGAAGCAGCAATGCCGCCGACGATCAACAATTCGGCGGTCAACAGCGCCGCCGAAAAGCGACCCCAGCGGCAAACGGAGCGCAAGTAAGTGGAAAACCAAGCGAATCAGACGCCGCCAAACTCACATTTTCTCCTTGCAGGTCGGAAATCATTTGCCGCGTTAAATATGGAAACAACCTGCCGGACATACCCTTCGACCTGAAGTTCCTGCAATATCCCTTCGACAGCCACCGCTTCGTGCAGTACAATCCCACGTCGCTGGAGCGGAACTTCAAGTACGATGTGCTGACGGAGCACGATTTGGGGGTGACAGTGGATCTGATCAATCGGGAGCTCTACCAGGCCGACTCCATGACGCTGCTGGACCCCGCCGATGAAAAACTACTGGAGGAGGAGACCCTGACGCCCACGGATTCGGTGCGTTCACGCCAGCACTCGCGGACTGTGTCCTGGCTGCGCAAATCCGAGTACATATCCACGGAGCAGACGCGCTTCCAGCCCCAGAACCTGGAGAACATCGAGGCCAAGGTGGGCTACAACGTCAAGAAGTCGCTCAGGGAGGAGACACTCTACCTGGACCGTGAGGCCCAGATCAAGGCCATCGAGAAGACCTTCAGCGACACCAAGAGCGAGATCACCAAACACTACTCCAAGCCCAATGTGGTGCCCGTGGAGGTGCTGCCCATCTTCCCCGACTTCACCAACTGGAAGTACCCCTGCGCCCAGGTCATCTTCGACAGCGACCCGGCCCCCGTGGGCAAGAATGTGCCCGCCCAGCTGGAGGAGATGTCGCAGGCCATGATTCGCGGTGTGATGGACGAGAGTGGCGAGCAGTTCGTCGCCTATTTCCTGCCCACGGAGCAGACGCTGGAGAAGCGTCGCACCGACTTCGTCGCGGGCGAACTGTACAGGGAGGAGGAGGAGTACGAGTACAAGATCGCGCGCGAGTACAACTGGAACGTGAAGACCAAGGCCTCCAAGGGCTACGAGGAGAACTACTTCTTCGTGATGCGGCCGGATGGCATCTACTACAACGAGCTGGAGACGCGTGTGCGCCTCAACAAGCGTCGCGTCAAGGTCGGCCAGCAACCAAACAATACCAAGCTGGTAAGATTAAAGTCATTTATCGCTTTATTAGCCATACTTTTCCAATTAGTCTTTGAATAATCGCTTTTTAATGTTCATACATCAGCACGTTACCAGCTGTTAAGTTAGATTATTTATTTAGTATTTAGTTTTAAAATGAAAATGTACAAGAATCTAAGCAGCTACTCGCAAATATCTAAATTTTCTTAATACAGAAACAAGTTAATACAATTTTAAGCTTCATTTTTATAGTCACGAATAAGTAATAAGAACTAACATCAATTTTAGGGTCAAGTTGATTAAGAACTTGGCTTATTTTTGCAACTTAGTATTAGATTTAAGGTAAATCAAGAAGAAACTTAACGCCAACACACACAAAAAGAAACGAATTTGAAATCCGCCTTTTCAAAATTTTAGCGCAAACATTTAACGACTCATTATTTAAAAATTACACTGCTCAAGTAGTTCCTTAGATATGTGAAATCCAGTCGAAAAAAAATAGTCCGCTGAAATATATTGTTTGATTAATGTATATACTTTCGATTTTAAAACCGTCCTAAAACATATATCTATATAAATAGACAAATTTAAAACATTAAAAAAAAAACTAGCATTCAAAGTAATAGTTAGAAAAGCTCTATAAACTCCAAAAGTTAATTTGTGACTAAGGGTATTAAAATACTGTGCACTTTAAACAGATTTTTAAGTTTTATAGTGCCTCAACGGATTGAATAAAGTTTATCATCATGTATTTCAGAAAGCTAAAGCTCCAGTAAAAGTAAAAAAAATATTTCTAACTTTCTATATCTCCCTTATTAATATACTTTTAATATTTTTTTTTTCTTCAGGTTGTCAAGCATCGTCCGTTGGACGGCATGGAGCATCGCATGCAGCGCTATCGCGAGCGGCAGCTGGAAGTTCCTGGCGAGGAAGAGGAGGAGGAGATCGAGGAAGAGCTGGAAGAGGACGAGGAGCCGTCCCAGGTCATGGGAGAGACGGAGAAGACGGGGGAAGATGCTGCGGTTGGTGCCCAGGCAGCAGATGGTGGCGATTCGCCGGCCCAAGTGGCCCGCGATCGACAGTCCCGCTCGCGGACTCGCAGTCGCAGCGGATCCAGTTCCGGATCGGGCTCCGGGTCCGGATCGCGGGCCAGCAGCCGCTCAAAGTCTGGCTCCCGATCGGGAAGCGGCTCGCGATCACGCTCCAATTCCCCGGCAGGATCCCAGAAGTCGGGATCTAGGTCGAGATCGGGCACACGGTCCCGATCCCGTTCAAAGTCCGGCTCGCGCTCCCGTTCGCGCTCCAAGTCCGGTTCTCGATCCCGTTCGGGATCCAGATCCAGATCTGGCTCTGGATCTCGATCGCCCAGCCGCTCGCGCAGCGGATCGCCCACTGGTTCCGGATCGAGTTCTGGAAGCGGCTCGGAATAATGAATAATTTCAATAAATAGCGATTTATAATAAATAAGATTGTATTCAAACAAAAACATTTGGACATTGACATGTTAATTGATTTGAAATTAAAAGTAAGATATTAACTGCATATTTGTTTTGCGGAAGCAATGACCAATTCCAGCTGGGTCACGTCTCCAGTCAACTTCGGTTCAGGTGTAGAGTAAAAAGAAATTTCAAAATAAAAAACTTTACAAATAATTAAGTGCATTCCAACCAAGTCGGGTCTGTTGCGAATTATACTTGGGCGCACAATATCGGGCTCTATACGGTAACCAAATAATACTCTTTAGTCGACAAAATTCCATAAAACAAAGAGCAATTACAATTTTTATAAATTTTATGACTAAATGACCATTTATTGATTTCAATGATATTGCACTTTTATACTTGAAAGCACAAGATATTGAAAACAGGGAAAAAAAAAGATTATTTTTTATTACTATAAACAGTTTTTGGAAGCAGACCAATATTTTGCATAAAATATTTGCGAATCGTAAGTGTTATTTGGTAAATCCGTATGAGGCCCGTATAATAAACGATAAATAAGTAAATTTATATCCCTGTTCCAGCTACGTCGCGTCCATCAGAAATCGCTGGAAGACCTCGCCGTCGGAACTGGGTAGCTCTGTCTGCTGTGGCGAGTAGAGTCTCAAATTCTGGAGCTGCTGCACTGGGGAGCCGTTGCCGGTGAAGTGCACCACGGCAACCGGCTGCAGGGATAGGAGTTGACCCGACTGCTGGGGGCCCACGCCGCAAATGCCCAGCTTCTGGCACTGCTCCACCACAATGTCGTCGATGGACTGCGAGAGTAGGGCCTCCTGCTCCGGATCGGCCATCGAACCGCTGTTGATGGCAGCTATTTCAGCGCTGGCCGGCGAGGGCTGGGTGGGCGAGTCGCTGCCCTCCAGGAAGGCCTTGATCAACTGCTCCGGCGTCTGGGCGTCCTCGGTGGGACAGCGATGCGTGCGTTGGCTCACCTTGTATCTGAACGTCTTCTGGCAGAGATCGCACTTGTACGGCATAACCCCCGTGTGGATGCGGGTGTGGACCAGGAAGGAGACCCGCTGCCGGAAGCACTTGCCTGTGGACGAAACCGAAGTATAGTGGTTGTATTAATATATATATTCGTCATAACTTGATTGGAATGAATCATATGTGGATCACCACACTTAAAGAGTCAGTATTAATGAAACACTTTCTTGCCAATTTTGGTTTTCACCTTTTCATAGTTTAGATCAATGATATTTGGTATTCCTTATAAAATTTAGAACACCTTTACGATGACGACCTCAAACTTTTCAAAGCCAGTCAATCAGTGGCTGACTCAAAATTAATTTAATCAGACTTTTATTTGATTGATTTATTAAGAGCTAAACAGTAATTAAAATTACTAGTAAGCAAAGGAAATTATTATATATATATAAAATAAAATATATTTTTATATTGTATATTATACTAATGACTGGTAATCTAAGAAGAGATAGATTATATATGATGGTCAAGGTTGGTGATTTTGAGTTATTGTAGAATATTAAATATGTTTGACAATGTGGAATTTGAAAGTTAATCTATTGGGTTATTGTTCTTAAATATATTTGTCAATTGGTTTTCTAAGGAGTTGTAAGTGGAGAGTAGATGTTCCAGTGATAGGTTGTCGTTGCAGAATGGGCTGGCTATATTTTAATCTGTCTTAAACTTAGTGTTTGCTGTGGGCAAAAATAAAATTTTAAATGCTATAATGTCAGGTACAGCAAGTGTCTTAAAGTCTCAAGAACGTATTCATTATATACGCAAATATAATGCCCCGTCAAAATCAGATGTATTATTTGATAGCAATTTTAAACAGTTAAGTTCCAACTGAAGTAAGTGAGATGTATGTCAACGCCATGTTCATCTAACCAGTCTAAAGCCCCTTCAAAAATGCAGGCATTACTTTTTCTGAAAGATCTAATAGCTGGCAACTTAGACTGCTCTCCAAAAAAAATACTTTTGGGTACCATGTATGTAGGTCTTCGGACAACTTTACCTTTAATAAGTTTATTTACAGGAGTCTGCGTTATTATAAAGATCTCTCTGTTCGCATGAAATTTAATTTAAGCCACGAAAAACAATATGCAATTTGCTTTAAAATAACTTTCTAAATAGTTTGATATAGTAGTTAATAAGTTAGGTTAATATTGTAGAAGCCAGTAAGTAAAAGTAGTAAATATGAACCATCTGGACAGCCGGAAATGTATAGTTTCTTATTTTCGTGTTAAGTTAAAATTCTGTTCCAAAAATATATACTTTTTCCATATCATTTTAAATAGCAATAGATTAAAACCATTTGTTTCCTAACAGTTTGACTTAATTTTTGCTTCCTCTCACAGATGTGAAACTAAATTCGTTATGGAGTTGAAAAAATACTTGTGTCTTAATCATATATACGTTTTACTTATGAGTGTCTTACAATCTAATGTTAATGCTGATATTTGAAAAAATGTATAACGAATGAAGGTAAGTTTGATACCCACCGCACACCTCGCACTTGAAGGGCTTTTCCCCGCTGTGGATCCTCTGGTGGTTATGCAGCGTGGATAGCTCCTTGAAGGCCCGGCCACAGACGACGCAGACATGGGGCTTCACCTCGCTGTGGTAGAGCAAATGCTTGTGGTACGACTGCTGGAAGGTGAAGGTCCTGGCGCAGATCTCGCAGGTGTACGGCATCTCGCCGGTGTGCAGCCGCTTGTGCTTCTTCAGGAAGTACTTGGTGGTGAAGGACTTGGTGCACACGTCGCACTCCCACAGCTTGGGCGTGGCACCGCCTGAATCCGGTGAATTGGGCGACTGCTGGAGCATGCTGATCGCCCCGCTCAAGGCATACGGCTGGGAGCTGGTGGACGAGGAGTTCTGGCCACTGCCCATGGCTCCCGCTTCCTTGTGCCGGATGCGATCGCAGATGCTGAGCTTGGGCGAGGGACTGACCGCAATGGTGGTGGTGACGGGACTAGGGTTGGAGCACGGAACACCCATCATGTGCACTACTTTCAGGTGGATTCGCAGGGAGCCCTTCATGCGAAACGTCTTCGAGCAGAGATGGCACTTGTATGGCTCCTGATCCTGTACAAAAAGACACATTCGTTATAAAATTGGAACTTGGCGTTTAGTGTTTCAGTGTTGGGCATTACAAATGTCTATTAGGAAATGGAATTTTCAAAAAGCAACATCAATAATACAACTTTACAAACTATTAGTTATGATAATATCGCTTTTTATTTGAGTTAATTTAAAGGCAGTAACATTTTGTTGCTCTTAGCTCTTTTAAAAACACCACTTTTGTATCGGGTGAGATAATATAGGTTGAGTATATGGGTAATTCTCTAACGTCGATTGCGACACTCCTACGCGTTCAAGTTGAAAAACAAATTTTATTTAAACACTTAAAATTGGTGCTAAGATTGAGTTTGGCAATTGATGATTTTCGAGGTTATCACAAAAATCTGCGATTTTTTCAAAAACGTTTTCGAAGCTTTTAATAAAATTCATTTTAAAATGTTATGTATTGATCGTTCTTTACAATTTTTTTGTTTGACCATAAAATATTAAGTAGTTTTTTTAAAATTGAATTTTAAGTATTATTTCATTGAAATGTCGCATTTGGCATTTTAATAGAAATGTTGAAAACAAAGCTTCCACACTTGTCTTACTTTCAATTGAAATATTTCAAAATATGCTATGAATTGATTGTATGGCTGAACTTTCTGGAGAATTACCCATATGGAAATAATGACGAAACAATAATGAATAACGTTTCATTGCCATACGAAATTTTATAGTTATAACGGATTTTCTTTCTTTTCTAATATCAGTGCCTGCTTTGTAAAAATATATAGCCCATATGATATGAATTTGATATTGATATATGTACATTACCGGCTCCTCCTGTTCTGGCTGCTTTGCTTGCTGCTCTCCTTCGGCGTTTTCGTGCACCAACCGGATGTGCATGTCCCTTAGTTCGCTGTTCCGGAAACTGAACTCGCAGATGTCACAACTGGCGGGAGGAGTTTGGGGCACAGGTGGTGGCGACGGCACCACGGACTTGGCTCGTTTAACCCTTCTTTTGGGGGCAGAAACGGCCACCAGGGGAGGAACGGGCTGAATGATGACCGGCGGCGTCGTAGTTGGGGGGCTCTGGCTCATCAGACTGGTGTGCGAAAACAGGTGAATGGTGAGCTTGTCGAGCCCCAAGAAGAGCTCCTTGCAGTTGGCGAAGGGACAGGCCAGTGGCCCATTGGCCGCCTTGATCAGGCGCTGCTGCAGTGCGTCAATACTGCCGAAACTGGGCACCGCACACAGCGGACACAGCACCGAGGTGGAACACATTCCGCTGGGGCACTCAATCGAATCTTACGCAAATTGTTCACCTTTTTAATTGGATATTCCTTCTGCTGGGTCGGCGAACATCTATCTGTTCAGGAGTCCATTCCCAGACGGCACACACTCAGCTCAGTCTTTCCGCTTTCAGAATTTTCTAAAAATATCAGCAAGTGAAAATTTTGAAAAACATTTGGGCCCAGCAATCGGAGATCTCGCCAACGATGCCAGCCAGCTGAACGAAATAATGAAAAATAATGAAATGCCCGGCGCTGGTCGTCGTCGAATCGAGAAAAACACTTTCGAAAACACTCGTATGTAGCTCGGAAAACTCATCTCTCCCGAAAAAGGCACACTCTCTTTCTCTGCCTGCCAGCGGGTACCTCATTTCGAAATATAGCTCTGAGCATTTCAATATATAAAAATATTTTTGGCCGATATTTGGTGCAGTGACGGCCTTATAGCCTTCGTTCTCGTCTTTGTAACGCACGACACAGAAGAGGCACAGTCTACAATTGTGATATATGCGACTTAAAAGAGATCAGCGATCTATCATTATGGCTAAAAGGTTCTATAATTGGCTAAAACAGTACAAATAATTCATCTGAAATATGGGTTTATTTTGTTTTTTATAAAGTGTGTTTAGGGGCATAGTAGGTTTAGAGGAAATCGCGTCAGATTTGTTTAAAACATATTCAAGAGGGTTAGATTTGTTTGTTTGCCAATCCTTAAACATTTGTATATTTAGAAAAGTGATTTGTGATAGAAATTTTAAATATATCAGTATTTTAATACAATACAAATCATTGGACAGGTAACTAACTTTGTCACTATTATAGAGTAAAAGGGTATATTGTATTCGTTTAAAAGTATGTTACTAGTAGAAGAAGGACGTCACAAAGAAATATATATTCTTGATCAATATCAATAGTCGTCGATCTGTCTGCTTGTACGAACATCAAGATCTCGAAAACTTTAAAATCTAGAAATTAAGAATTGAGATTTAGATTATTTGAAGCGAATAGCATTCATCTAAATTTTCCGGCAGATGGCGCCACCTAAAACCGATGAAAGTGAAATAATTATTTTTAAATTTGGTAGCTGGGTAACTGGCATCTAATAGTCGGTCCACTCGACTATAGCGTTCCTTCTTGTTTTTTGTTAAGTTTGAGCTTTAGCTGCTCAATTCCCTTCTTTTGAATTGTCGGTTGTTCACTTTTTGAAAATCCAAAAGTATTTGGAACAACTTTTTATTAGTTTAAAATTAATGGTATAAGAGTGGAATAATATTTAAGCTGTTTATGATATGAAATTAACTTATTTAGTCTTTAGTTGTTGAGAAAAATTACAATTTTACCTCTTAATTAATAGAGCAAATACATAAATATTGGTCCTTTACAAAGTTTGTAAAATGTTTTAATTATAAATATAAAATATCTGCAAACGTTTTATTGAAATGTTTTACCTAAAAAGTAATCTATTTCAATAAAAGGTTTGCATATATTTTTTAAAAAAGTATTCAAATATTTTGTTGTTAAAAAAATCGTTTCTTTTGGAAATGTATTCGGCAGTCGATCCTCTGAACACACGATCCACAAAATACACACTTTTACACTTTCACATACCCCTGCCCCCAATGAATTTGTTGTGTGCTATTTTTATGGCCGATGCTGCTCTCTTGTTTTGACCCGCTTTAAGAACGCATTTTATTCGCTGTTTCGTTTGGACGGTCAATTTGTAAACAGTGCGATCACTGAGCACATGAAACCCAGAGAAAAGAGCAAAGAGCATGCGGTCTGAGATCATTGAATTGGCTAAAATAATAACAAAATAAATATGAAATATATGAAACTATTTTTTCTTCGGCACGGGCAACTCAAGCGATATGATGCTGAGGCCGGACTGGGAGGAGGTGGAGGAGGTGTCGTCCTTGAGGGAGCTCACGTCGGAGGCCGAGGATCTGGCGCTCGTTCCCCCGCCGAGGAAGGTCTTCCCCTTGGCGCTGATGTAGGAGCCGTCATCCTGCGATGACTTGACCGAGGAGCTGCTGTTCCACGACACACAGCTACGGGTGCGCTTCAGATGCATCGGCAACTTGATGCCCTTCCGCAGGATATACTGCATTATCTCCGTGCCGGACTCATCGCTGTTGGCCAGATCGATCAGCATGTTCAGTGCCTTGGTGTTGCGCGCCTCCAGCTGCTGCAGGTTGAGATCCCGCTCGAACTGCGCCAGGAACTCCTCGCTATACGGTCGCGCCTTCACCTCCCGTATCTGCGACCGGATCTCGCGCTGCGCCCTGTCCAACTTAATCCGCTGCTCGTCTAGTTCGCGCTCGATCTTCTCCAGCACGGCCGCGTGCTCCGCGCGCCTCGCCTTCGCCTGCTCCAACTTGGCGATCAGGTCCTCCTCCTCAGCCCGCTGCTCCGCGTGCTTCTGGTCGTATCTCTGCGCCTTGCATCGCAGCACCTTCAGCTCCTCCAGGTCGCGACAGTAGGCTGCCTCCAGTTCCTTCAGCTCCAATTCGGCGCGCTCGCGATCTGCGTTGAAGAAGGAAAAATCAATATATATATATATATGAGAGCCCAGAGTCAGTCAGCTTCAAAAAAAAGTAAAGGACCATCTCGTGGTTATGAAACAGCGATATCATTAACCTTTACCATATCAAATTGTTTAATTTATTTGTATACCCTTGCAGAGAGTTGTCTTTCTCTTGTCGGAACAATCCGGATCGGACTATCATATATATAGCTCCAATAGGAACAACTGTTTTTTTTTTAAACTCGCATAAAAACCAAAATACAGTTGATTTAAAAAACATTTAGTTTTTGCAATAGGTGCAAGTTTATATAAACTTTGGCTTTTGGCTTTGGCCAAAGTAAGCTTCCTTTCTTGTGGAGCAAATGTTATTTTTGTTTCTTGTTATGCATACATTTCATTAATCTCAAAATTCAAAAATTCAAAATTTTTAAAAAAGGATTTAATAACCAGATCTGTTGAATATTGTATCACCCGTCATTACATCATACTTAATAATAATATTTTAAAATGTTTTTTTAATACACAGAGAAAATGTAATTTTTCGCTTTAATAATGCTTACAAAGTTTGTAAATAATACCAGAATTATTAAAAACAGTAAACTCTATTAAAAACTTTTAGTTTAAGAAAAAAAAGAGCTATTAATTTAATACAAGAACATTCCGTTCTTAAAATGATTATGCTTTTATTTAAATTGTTTATCTAGTTGACTTCAGAAGTATATCTATCTGTCTATCCAAAGGCCTCGGTTCAAATCCCGTTTGGGTCGACTTGGAGTAAACAAAATAAGTTTGCTTTTCTGTTTTTTTTACTTATCAGTTTATTATATTCTCTGTCACTTTTGAGTAGTTGGATGAGAAAGTTCATTCTCAAATTCTAAATTTCTTTTCGCACTTGAATAAAAAAAAAATCGAGTTTACCCTGCTTTTGACACCCTTCGTACTTGATTTGACACCGAAATACTGGACTTTTTCTTTGAGTGTAGTCTCCCCGCACCCCTCCCGCCGACTCACCCTTCGAGTTTTCGTCCGCAGATCGGAAAGTCTTGCGATAGTTGTCGTTGGACTTGTCGAACTGACGCAGAGTGTTCTCCAGGGCGACCAATTCCTTCTCCGCCGTCAGCACCTTCTTGTTGAGGGCGTCGCCCTCGTCGGCCAGCATCTGGCGCTCCTGGGCGCTCGCCACCTTCAGCTGGGTGCTGGTCATGATGGACCCGTCCTCGTTCTTGCCCAGCAATTCGGCGGTCAGCTCGAACCTGGCCTTCATCGCCTCGATCTGTTTCTTGCGCTCGCCAAGATCGGCGCGCAATGTGCTGAGCTCCTCGTTGAGATGCTTCTTTTTTAGGAGGAGTACCTCCTCCTGGCTGCGCAGCTCGACGGTGCGGTCCTTGATGGCCCGCTGGAAGGCTAAACGATGCTGTTCCAGATCGTAGGTGCCCTGTTCACAGCCACCGATGCCCGCCTCCAAATCGCTGCAGCGCATCTTGACCATGTTGAGGTCGACTATCAGCTCGGAGTTCTCGTAGCGATTCTGGCGGAGCCTCTTCACCGTGCCCTCGCAGTAGACCTGCGCCTCCTTGATCTTGAACTTGACCATATTGAGTTCCTTCTCGTCGTTGTTGTACTGGACCACCAGGTTGTTCATGTTGTAGTTGAGCTTCTTGTTCTGCGCCTCCGTGGTGGCGATGAGGCGTTGTAGCTTCTCGTACTCCTGCTCCAAAACGGCCAGCCGGGCCACTTTGGCGGCCTCCACCTCGGGATCTTCGTTCAGACCCTTGCACTCGGCATAACGCCGCTCCGCCTCCAGGCACTTGAACGAGAGGTTGTAGTGGATCTCCGTTTGGCGCTTCAGTTCGTTCTGCACCTGCTGCTGGCTACGATTGATGGCCGCCAGATTGGAGTTCAACGAGTCGTTCTGTACGGTTAGAACCTTCTCCTCGTCCTGCAGCTCCTGCACCTGCCTCTGGGTGCGGTAGAGCATCTCGTTGACCTTGTCTTGCTCCTTGTCCAGATTCCGCAAAGCACTCTCCTCCGCCTCCATCATCTCATCCAGAATGTGAAGACGCTGCTCCGCATTGAGGGCCTTGTCCTGAATGGACTTTAGTCGGGCATCCATCTTCTCCATTTCGGCGGCAAAGTTCTCAATCTCCTGCGCCTTGGCATCGCGCTTCTTCACCAGACTGCGGTTCTCCATGCGCTGCAGGTGCACCCGATTCGAGAGGTTCTCCAGCTCCCGACGCAGGCCGTCGATCTCGCGCTCCTTCAGCAGCGAGGCGTCCGTCAGGATCTGGATTTGGTTCTTCATGTCGGAGGTCTCCTCGTTCAGCGCCTCGATGCCGATCTCCACCTGGCGATTGTTTTCGATCACCTCGTTCAGCTGGTCGTCCATCTGTTTGTACACCAGGGCGGTACGTAGCGCCGTCTGGGCAAGATCGGCGCACTCCACTTCGCAGCGTTGGATGTCATGCTCACGCTGGGTCATCAGGTTGACGGCACTCTTCCACGTGTCCACCATCTGGCGGCGCTCGGCGTGCGCAGCCCTGTAGAGACAGGCGGTTCGCTCCAGGTTCTTCTCCAGCGTCATCTGCTCGTCGTAGAGGAGCACCACCTTCTTGCGCCGCTTGTCGATGTCCGCCTGCAGCAGTTGCCGCTTCGTGTTCAGCTCCCGCGCCTTCTGCTGGTCATCCAGATAGTACTTCTCGATCAACTGGTAGCCCTTGTTCCCATCCTCCATGGCCTCCTGCCACTCCACCAAGGTGCCCTTGGCCGTCTTGATGCGCGTAGTCAGCTCATCGATCTCGCGCTTCTTCTGGCAGATCTTACCTAGCATTGAAAGAATAAATAGTTAGGTAATTAGAAACCCGATATAATATCCGTTTAAACTTCAATGTCTCGAAAACTGTAGGGGACTGGGTATTTTTTTTCTACTTAAACTAAACGGTAACGAAACAACTTTAATCAGGAATATATATTATTTATATTATATATTATTTCAAAAATATTTATCAGAGTTTTAACAATCCCATAAAGTTTGTCGACACGTTTTTATTTATTAGTGTGTGCTATGTATAAATACATATAAATATCCATGAAATTTCAAGATCTCGAAAACTATAACTTTTCTACTTTATTTAAACGGTATCGGAACAACTTAAATTAGGAATATTTCTGAGTGTGCGATCCTACTACAAAAAAATATATTTTTATATCAATAATATTTATCTGATTTTTAACAATCCCATAAAGTTTTTCAACAGGTTTTAAAGGGTATATAAATGAAAAATTGGCAAACAATTATTTTCAACTAATTTAATTTAATTTATTTGGATGGCTAGAAGTAGTTCTTCAAACTTCACTCAGATAACACTCAAAAACAAAGGCTATATATACATAGCTTTAGAACCACCTAGATAATTTTTCCTAAATTTAAGTTCATTTTTTAACTTTTTAGGTTATTATTCCATATATCATGTTGTTGTTCTTAGGTCATTTAATTTTGGAATTTTCTGGGAGTTTTAGAAGGGTTCCACTACTTAAGGAATTCCACTTACGTTCCGTGTCCTCGGCGTATTCGGTATACTCCTCCAGCTCCTTTTGATTCTTGCGCAGATCCTCCTTAACCTTGTTGCGCTCTAAGATCACAAGCTGCACTTTGTGCGCCTCCTTGATGACATCGTCCTTCAAGGAGTTATACAGCGTCTGGGGACAGATGGCGGATGACGGTTAAGGGCTAGTTTAGCAAGGATAGCCATAGTGCTTTCTTACCATATTCTGTTGAATAGTGACCTCAATGTTCCGCTTATGACGTTCCACTGCCTCCTCGCGTTCGTCCAGCGAATGCATGTGCTGCTGAACCTCTAGTTTCAAAGCCCTCAAGGTAGCCAGCTCCTTCAGGATGGCCAGGTTCTCCTCGTTCGCCATGGGGATGTCCGCGTCCACCGCCCAGCCCATGGAGGCCATCGCTTCCACCTTGAAGTCGTTCAGCGAGGCCATCTTCATGTCGTCGGAGCGATTCATTGTGCTATGAGATTAGCCTCTCAGCTGGACAGAGAAAATCGAACAGCTCTCAGTTTTCCGGGCTGTATTTTTCGACTGAGTGTGGGACAATAGAATTATTTCGATTCAATGACAACCAGGAAAGCTATCTTGCTACCCATGACAACGTGTATGAATGAAATAACAACTATCAGGATTTACCGTTACACTAGCTACCAAAAAATAAACAGTACTTTAAAAAAACCAAAGAAAAACATTTCGAGTTCAAAAAATTGTCCTTACTAGTTTTCAAAAAAAAAAATGTTGTATATATTCGCAAAAAAGCAGTGTTTTTCAAAGATGAATGGGAAGGAATACTATTTGCATAACTAATAAAAAAAATAAAAACTAATAAATTAAACCAAATCTTTTGTTCGTTAATTAAAAAACAAAAAATCTATAAGCTAATAAACTTTTGAAATCTAAGCCAAAATTTGGATATTTATGTGAATATTTATAACCGTGCAGCGGTAATATTAATTTATTTAAATTTTAACAAAGAAAAAATACTTGCAACGAGTTATTAAAATGCTTTAATCTTTCAACTAAAATGACCGAAATAGCTGATTTATTTTAACAAGAAGAGACGGATAAAAAACAGGATAAATTACAATTTGAAGGTTAATCGTTCAGCTATTTATCAAAACTCAAAAATGTTTATCATCGTGACCTTAAAACTACATGTTGACATGGAGATAAGTGTGATAAGTGAGTGAGGAATAGTAAATGACTCCTTCCAAACAAGAGAAAAACGAGAAATTTCTAAGGGTAAGGTAATCAGTTTAGAAAGTTGTCGAAACAGGCTCTCAGCGCAGTATCTATCTAAATTCTAGAAGCGGGAGCTTTTGCTTAAACTCGGACCAGGCTTTCAGTTGGCTTGGAAATGGAAATTAATCAATAATCATATAAACTCCAAACATGATGTTGCTAACACATACTAGACAATTATGACCTCAAGTCTAGTACAAGGAATCAAATAATGAATTCAAGCTTATGTCCACCGTAAACTCGAGTGATACAATAACTACACCACGCAATGACTGATACTTAATAGTTTTATGATTTTGGGAATAGTTAATAAATAATACAGCATTTGAATAGATACAGTGACATACACCTTTCACCATTCTTTGCCCTGGACCATTATATAAAGGGCGTCTAATCCAGAACAAAAGGTCAGCAATCCAGAGGAGTCGACCGAAAAATACTTCTGACTGCCTGATCCACTAGGTTTGACTAGGAAGGATGTCCTCTAACTACAACATCTCTTAGACTAGGAAAACTCCTAGAACTAAAAAAACATTTTACAGGATCACAAACGCATTTGTAAGGACTGCAAGCAGGATCACCAGTTTCACCCAAAAAAAAACAGGATAATCAAGGAGAAGCAAAAATTCCCAATCCTGACGAATAAAAACGCTGAGATTGTGAACCACAAAAAGTACAAGGTTGGGTCTGTGATCGACGCAATTTTAGTGATCGCAGTATTTTTAAATTATTTATGTTAACGAAGACTATCTATAATCGAATACCAGCTCTAATTCGATATTTAGGCATTTTTTAAATTTTATTTCTTTTATGTAATAATTTGTACTCACTGTAAGCATTTATGGCTCAAGTGCACAATATATTATCCAACAAAATTATAATGTAAGCAGTAAAAAATCTACGAAAAATCACACCCAAATCATGTTTGAAACTTAAGCACTTCTCATTCAAAACCGGCAACATGTACTGGTGATTCCAATTTCAATTTCAGTAAAAAGGTCCACTTAATTTTTCATATAATCTTTTTGCTTTATTTGTTTGCTTCTTGGTTTTGTTTGTTTTACTTTCTTGTCGTTATCATAGAGCAAATATTTTTGTTGTAACTACATAGATATTATGTAATATTACTGTTATTTGATAATTTAATTCTATAATTTTTATGTTTTAACTTGACCAGCATCTCAAGAGATGCCATTGTTTCCAGTTAAGTATAATTATATTATTTATATAAATGATTTTATAGTTATATGTATATATACCACATGTCAGTAATCAGTTTTCAGTACTGCAAAGATTTGTATCTAGTTTAAATGTAAGATCGATTTCGCTTTTCGGTTTTTATGTTAATCCATGTTTATTTGATTTATTTATTAGCATTCTGTTCCGTTTTCTGTTAGACAACACAAAATTTATGTATATGCTTCAAGTACAATAAAGTTATGTAATGTTACAGTTTAAATATAATATATTTTTTTTTATATATGTATGCATAGTTTATGTAAGAGGGACGCACTAAAAACTAACTTCATTTCATCCACTTTCCCTTAATGCATCTTCTTATTTTTTTCAAATTAAACATACACCCACCTAATGATGGCTTTTGTTTTCCTTAACTCTTTTCTTGTAACACAGCTTGCAGAATTTGCATTAAATTTTCTTGTAGGCATGAAATATAGTTCATTATGGTATATTTATGTTTAATTATTATTAATTCTTTAAATGTAACTTTCAAGGGTGGGCGTTTTTTTATTTAGATCATTTTGTTTTGGGTTGCTATATTTAAATAATGATGAACTTCCCCCTCTTTCCTGGAAGGACTACTCGTTGACCTCCAATGCTGCAGTTACTCCTTCTCATACTACTTTCAATCATTTTTGTTACTAATAAGCGTTTATGCACATTTTATGCTTACAAATTAATTAAACTCATATTTAAACGCCAGAGAAAAATGTTCAACATAACAAATAAAAAAAACTTAATAAAATAGTTATTTGATTACAGTAAATCAGTAAATATTAAAATTAGCATGAGAGTAATAAGAATGGGAGAAAAGCAAAACTAAAACAAATTTAACTAGAACGCCAGGCTCAGGTTGACAATTTACCATTCTGTGCGTTCGGTTGGACAAATAATCGGGAATTGAACAATCAATTTTTTACTATTCAATTTATTTAAGGTAACATTTGATGGGAGAGGGTGTTTCAATCATTAGATTCCATCTTGACTTCATCTCCTTCGGCATTCTTATTCTTGTCCATTTCTTTTCTTACGTTTTCTTTATTTTATTATTTTTTTTTTTTTTTGCAAAACTCGGTATTAAAAATATATTTTTGAATTATATATTTATATTGAAATTTAGCAGGGCGCGCGCGCTTGCCAAGAGGGGAAAAGTAAGTGAAGGTGCTGGAAGAAGCGCGCGCAGCGAAAGTAACTTTCGTAAGAAAAACAAACAAATAAGATGCATCCAGTTAAGCCATGCTCTAAGCGAATTGATAGCGCTTCGAATATAGCCGACTGAATATATCCCACATAGTGTTCTTTAGTTCCCATTTGTGTAGTTGCTTGCAGAATTCTTTTCTTAATGGGAAGAGGGGGTTTTTTTTTTTTGCTCCGTTGCCTGCTTACGAAAGGTGGAAGGACATACTGCCCTCGTTGGCGGCCACTTTCAGTTTCTGCCGCATCACATCGCGACTTGAGTAGTCGGGCAACTTCAGATAGTTGACACAGGTCATCACAGATGGTAGGTAATCATTGGGGTTTTGGTTTCCGTCCAGCGTCTTGCGCACAATAGTCAGTGGCGGTGTCAGCGCCTTGAATCCGCCAGTCGGCAAACGTGGCGATCCCGTCACAAACTGCAAGAAGGCGCGCTGCTCGTCGCGATTATACGAAGCCAGGATTTCGTACAGATATTGGATGGCCTGCGACTCCTGGTGGAATCCGTGATCCGTGCGGCAGCTTTCCTGCAGCATCTTGGCTTCCCAGCGCTGTTGTTGCTGCTCGCTGGCTGATCCGCAAAAGACGCACTCCAGCTCCTCTGGATAGAACATGCGCAGACGTTGAATCGGGAAGACGGAATCGAAACCTATTGTGGAAAAACAGATTATTTTACTTAGTGAAAATAAAATACGAACATAAATTGTCAGTTATTTATTAAGTTTAATCTAATAATAAACCTTTTACCAGTTTTATAATAAAACGAGTAAAAGAAGAATTATTGAATTCAAATAATTGACTTCATTGATTTGTGATTTTGACTTACCCTCACGCAGCGCCTCGAACTGCTTCTGGACACCCTCGATGAGGAACCAGTAGGTCACAAGCGAGATGTACTGGTGCAGGTTGTGGACAGTAACTGGTGTATCGCGACCGCCACGACACAACTCGATGTTGGCATGTCCGGGCAGCACGAAATCCAGGCCCAAATCTGCGATGGGACAACCATCCAGGTCCAGCTGTTCGATCTAGAGAAGAAAATAACATTTTTAATTAGAAAAGGAATATTTCGAGAGTAAGAGTTCATTCCCAGGGCTTTACTCGCCCTAATTTAATATCTGTATCGACCTGAATTCAAAGTAAGTTCCTATTTATGTCAGACCTTTTTTGTTACCAATAGTTTCACTTATAAATATGTGCTTTATTTTTAAAGCAAACTATCCTTTTTACACAAATGTTGATATAAGTATTAAACTTGAATACTTTATTTGCGAGTTGCTCATTCTTGTATGTTTATGGCTCGAAAGCTTAATTATTACACTCTAGCGAATGGTATTATAACTTTGGGCAGACCCTTGTTACGCAAAGAAGTATATAACGTATATATGTAGCAGTCCAGCATCACTAAGAGATCCGTTTTTTTCTATGCTCACTAATTTCTTATGAAAGAATTATTTCGTTAAATTTTACCAGTAAAATAGTTCGAATTCATCTACTCCTACGTTAACGTAAAAAAAAAAAAAAAAAACCAATTTCTTTTTTTTTAATGCACAGATTGTTCCCATGAGGGCTGTTTAAAAAAAAAACAAATTTGTTATTTTTTCCCGGTTGTTATGGGGCTAGTGAAATTTTTGTGCCAGTGTAACTTTTTCTTAAAATCAATTTTTTTTTGCCCTATCGGTAGTTTACAATTTCAAAACTATCGTGTGAAAGCGGCATGGTCTTATACAAAATATTTTGAATAGCAGCGTTCTATAAATATATTAACCGCCTTTATCTCGAAACGACAATTTTGAAAACTGCTGTGACACCATAACTCTACAAAAGACCTAAGAACTTTTGGATTGGTTAAAAATTGTCTATTTAGAAGAATTCAAAAAATACTTTGTTCACCCCAAAAAACGATTTTCTTGTTCAAACCGATTTCAATACGTTTTAAGGATTGTTGGTCATTGTAGAGGGAATATATTAAGCTTTTATAAGCTTTTTAAATTTTTTGATTTCAGTCACTCATTTCTGAATGTTTTTACAAAACAAAAATTCTAAATTAATGTTGAAAACGTACCCTATTATGTGCAAAAAACTTCAAAACATTCTATTGGGTACTTTCTTAAAAAAAAAAAAACCAACAAATTGCCTATTATTTCGTGGGTTACCCTGGTATAGCCCCTTAATATGGAAGCTATATGCTAAAGTTTTACGATCCGACAGAAAGACAACTTTTGTAGAAATTTTGAGCAAATAGCTTTAAAACTGAGAGACTAGTTTACGTAGAAACGGTCAGACAGACATGGCTACATCGACTCTCGACTAAATAGTGTATATTTATACCTTATAGGGTCGGAAATGTCTGGAAATTCTATACCCTCTGCAAGGGTATAAAAATTAATCTATCGATATATGTATAATTTGTTACTCACCTTCTCCGTCTTCTCCATAGCATCGATGTTTGGATCGGAGAGAATGTACTCCCGCTGGCGTACCATATCCTGCAGACGAACCAGAGTGTTCTGCACCTCGGGAGCCACACGCATCAGATCGGCCAGGCCAATCGAGTGCTCTTCGCTGACCAGCCAGCGGTAGAAGGGCAACGAGAAGGGCAAGTCCAACTGAAACGGAGAGGTAAAGGTAACAGTCATCAATCATTAGATGATCATACTTCAAGAATTGAAAAGAAGGACGACTCATACCATGCGACTGTCCATTACCGCCTTGGCCATAAACTTGCCCAAGAACTTGAACTTGGCCTTGGCCTTGGTCATTTGCGGAAGTTTCGAGGATTTACCCAGTGGCAGGGGGAACAGGCCGTGCACCGCATGCACATAGCTCGTCATGCTTGTGGTCGTGGTCGTCGTGTTGCCCGAATGATTCGTGTTGGTGTTCTGCTCCACCACACTGGTTGTGGTTGTGTTGGTTGTGGTGGTGGTGGTGGTGGTGCTGCTAGGATTATCAGTTGCTGCCGGATCAGCAGAGTTTATATCACTGTATTGCTGTGCGATAATCATATTTAAAGCGTTCTCATTGACGCCGGCACTGGAGGAGCTGTGCTCCACTGGCTGCGACATCTGCTGTTGGCCAGCAGCAGCTCCACTGCGCAAAACATGCGATCGGCTGCTGGATCGGGTGGGTGGATGAAGCTGCTGCTGCTGCTGCTGCGTGGTTGTCATCATCGTGTTGGTGGTACTGCTGACAAGCGATGCATCTCCCGTTGCCGGAGGACTCTGGTCCATGGTGGTTGCCTCGAGGGCATCCTCAATGTGCAGCACTGCACTGTTGGCCTTCACCACATCCACAATGGTCACCGAGTTCTGTTTGTAGCTGTCGCTTCCATTCCAAAGACCCAAATCCGTGCGCTGCAGCTCGGCAGAGACCAAGGCGTAGAATTCCAGCGTAGGTCCCAATCCCGTACCAACTTCATTCTCATACTGAATCTCCAGTAAGGCCTTGGAGTGACCAAAGTCCTGCAGGATGTGTTCGGCCTGCTTGAGGATCTCCGTACGGGAAATTGCACGCTTGCGGCGATCAAGACGCGGAGCCACGCGTTCAGAAGACTCGGCGGCATTCAAATCGGGTGTGGTGTCCAGCAAACGCTGCAGAGCACGATCCCGATCGAAACTGGTCGCGTAGAAGAGCAGGTGTCGCGTTTCGAAGGGGAACAGGAAGGGACAGGCCATGCCGATCTGTGGCAACCACTGCGGCAGGTTGCCCGTCATGATGACGAGCGGATCTTGCAGCTGTCGGTTGGCCTTGGCCGTAATCTTCGGATGCACAAACTCCGACTGGGGAATGATGTTCTGGCGTACCACACACCCGTACAGATGCTCCCAGTGGCGATTGAGAGCATGGATCACACGCAGCATACACAATGCATCCAGCGAGGAATCCTGCACGGTCACCACATCACCTGGCAGCGAGCTGCAGAGGAAGGGCTTTAGGGCCGACATGACTCCAGGAGCTATGCCCTCGTGCCACAGTTCGGTCTTCTTGCGCATGAACTTGCTGCTGGACTTGTGGGCCTTCTTCGACGACGATCCGCCACCGCTGGCCACTCCCGACGATGAGGAGCACGACGACGAGGCGTTCGCATAGCTGGAGGCGGAACTGGAGGAGCTTTGCTGCTTTTGTACACCACTGCTGCACGAACTGCTGCTGCTGGAGGCTGCTCCACCGGCTCCCGTTCCCGAAGCGACTTCCTCCTCAACGGGACGATAGTAGATGGTGTGCTGTTGCACCCAAATGCTGGCGTTACCCAACAGCGTCTCCGATTCGTTGTCCGTCTCCGGCTGCTCACTGACCAGCGGCGAGAACTGCTTGACCGCCTGGTAGACGGTCATGTTGTAGGGCAACACATGATCGCCGATCGTGAACTGCAGCTTGTGCTTGAATCCCGCCTGGGTCATCACCACAGCTGCCACATTGTCGTCCATATCCTCTTCGCTGTCGTCGTCCGAGTCCGCCCGTATGCCGCCGTAGCCGCGCACCACCAGGTACCGCTCAATGGCCTGCACCATGGCCAACGGGTCGATCTTCACAGTGCCGCCCTTCCACTGACGCAGATTGCTGCACTGCGGATGACGCTGCAGGTTGCACTGGAGAATAAAAACAATTTAAAATATGCATTAAGTTAAATGTCAAAAATAAAGGAATTCATTATTTTAATTTTTTAATCGGATCAACAATTAAGTTAATTTCGACAAGAGGACAATTATAAAACGAAATTTTAAAAATGCAAATTTAAATTTAAACTATGGTATCCAATCGGTTTCGTCACCGTTATCCTTAACGGGAAAACCGAATCAAAACCGTAACCGATACCAATATAATTTGTTTTTGCCTAACCAAAACCGTAACCGAAATATACAGCAACCAAAATAACCGTTACCGATACCGAAACATTAGAACCGGTTCTGTAAAAGAGTTTTCTTTAAAAATACATAGTTCGTGTAGCGATTTCACCATTTAATATGTCTAATCCTGCAAATGATTTAATACATGTTATTGAAATGAAAATGATCGATAATGATTTTATGTTCATTGATACAAATCTCTACCGATAAAATTTGTTTTAGCCTAACCGGAACCGTAACCGAAATAACCGTTACATAATTCGTAAAACGATTTAACCATTTAAATGCTTTTCTGTAAGAGGATTATTTTCGTAATACATATCATTGAAAAGAAAAAATCTCTAACGAAAATTTTACAGGTTCGACAAAGTCATTAATTTAATTAACTGTACTTAATGTTATTTTTTTTATATGAAGTTGCTAAGCTTTTATAAGAAAATAAGTAGAAGTACAATAATGCAAAGCTTCTAAAAACTTCGTTCTATTCATTAATTATTAGCAATAATAGATAGATAGCTATAATGTTAGAAATATTATTTTTTTAACCGGTATTTTACCGGTTCCCACAACTTCTTTTGGTTGCGGTACCGTAACCGCAAAGAATATACAAGCAAAGAATTTCGAAATAGTTTTATTGGTTGTAAGAGTAACCGAAACCAATAATTGATTCGTTTTTAATCCCCTGATTTAAACTAAAGCCTACGAATACCATCAATAAGAGCTATATCGTTTATGGCTCGATGGATCGATTGCCATCTACTTACCTTCAGCTGGTGCGTGTTGAAGAAGCGCAGCGCACTCTGATTGGACCTGCCACCAGGACCGGCGGGAAAGTCGTGGACCTTGACTGGAAACTGTTCCAGTTGCGTGACGCAGCCGTTCAACTTGGCCACGAAGGCGCCAAAGGCCAGTGGCTCAATGGTCGGCAACTGGCCGACGTTCTGGAGCAGGGGCTCCAGTGGCAGGCCGGCAAATACGTGCATGAAGCTGCGCAGGCGCGCATCTCGCTCCACCAGTCCCGACTCGCTGGTCATGTAGTTGAGCATGGCCTTGATCAGGCCCGAATGGTTCACCTCGAACGGAGAGATGTCGCTCTCCAGCAGGATGGTCTTCAGCTCGAGGAGCGCATCCAGGCAGTCGTGGTAGCTGCCGTTGAGCTTAAACAGAATGCTGGACAAACGCTCCAAGACATTGGTGCTACCCGCCGTGGACAGCGGCGTACTGCCCGTCGATGAGAGTCCCACTGCGCCACCTCCGCCTTGGTTTGCTCCTCCACTCTCCGAGGCTGCCTTGCTCCGCCTGGCCTCCTGTTCGGTGTAGCGCTTCACAAAGTCCACAGCCTGTTCTCGCACCCACTGACGTGCCCTTTCCCTGTTGGCCGCCGCCAGGAGATTGGCATGGGAGATGCTCTTGCTGATGCTTGCGGCAACGGCTGCTGCATTCAGTCCACCAGATCCACTACTAGCGCCATGTTGGCTCACCGTGTAAGCCAAACCAGCTCCAGACCCGGATCCACTTGAGTTGGCATTGCCGGAGTCTTTGGAAAGGCCATGATGATGCTGCTGCTGCTGCGACTGCTGCTGGTGATGGTGATGATGATGGGCCGTCTGGCGGCCCCAACGTGCCGGATTGAGCGAAGCCAGGAACGAGGATTTACTCGAGCCGGCGTTGGTCGAGTTTCCGGCATTAAAGCGAGACTTGGAGCTGCCAGAACCACTGCCCGAACTGGGCGTACTCCTGCCACCAGTGCCGCTGCCCAAACCTTAAACAGAAATAGCATCATGATTAGGAAGGAGGATATAGTTGATCTCCAACTCGAATTCAAGCTCATGAAATGATATACTCATGATTAGGAGGATGATATAGTTGATCTCCAACTCGAATTCAAGCTCATGAAATGATATACTTACTTGTGGCACGGCTGAGAAGTTCGTGCATAGCCGAACTGGCCGAGGCAGGTGGTGCTCCTCCTGCTCCGGATCCGGCGGCCGCAGCGGCGACTGCCGCATCTTCCTGCCTGGACTTGGCACGGCCACTGCTCTGCGATTTACGCTTGGGTGGCGCTTTTCGCTTTAGCATGTCCGTCATCTTGTGCTGCAGCGCCGAGGCGGAGCACGAGGAGGACGAAGACGAGGACGCGGAGGCGGAAGCAGCGGCACTGCTAGTCGAGGCCACCACCAAGTGGGCGGGCTGCTGTTGCTGCTGCTGCGGCTGCTGCGACTGGTAAATCACCTGGGGCACCGGCTGTTGCCCTTGTTGCTGCACTCCAGTGGGCAGAAGCTCCAATTGTGGTGGCGGTGGAGGAACTGCCGGTTGCTGGAAGTGCACATACTGGCGCGGATCACCCTGCTGGGCCACAAAGAAGGCAGCGGGTGCTCCACCACCACCAGCCGCCGTCGAGGATGACGAAGGCGCCGAGCTGCTGTAGTTGTAGCCACCGGCCGGAGTCGAGGATCCCGTGGCGTCCAATGCACCGGTCGGAGTTCCCTTAGCGCTGGCCGTCAGCGCGTTCATGGCATGCGAAAAGCTCTTCACGCTGTACGATTGATGCTTGCTGCTGCTGCTGCTGGGAGTTGCCGAGGCACTCGACGATCCCGGAGCACTGTCCATGAAGAAGGGATTCACCTGTAGACTGTTGGCGGAGGCCGGAGCCGATTGTGAGCCGCCTGCATTGGCGGTGGGCGTGGCTGTTGTGCTAAGCGGCTTCGGCGACGGATTGGCGCATATGGGATTGTTCGGATCCGTCAGCTGGGTGAACTGATAGATGACACCCTCGCGACGGAAGTGAGTGCCAAACACATCGGGCAGCTGGCGCATGAGGATCTCAGCCATTTGGAGGGCTCCCACCACAATGCGCAGATCGTTGCTGCCCAGCATGCCGGCAATGTGGCTGGACACCAGCTGATACTTGAGCACCTGCCGCAGCAACTCCGGCGTGGCATAGTACACCATTCGCAACAAGGCGCGCAGGCATTTGTAGCGCACATTCGGTCCGGCCGACGAGCTGTACACCTCATACAGCACATTAAAGATGTGTTTGATAAAGTCCGCAGCGAGACCACGCTCCTCCTAGGATAGGATAAAAAAAAAAAAAAAAATTGTAAATTACTGACTTTCAAATTTTAAATGTATAGTTTAGAAATTTGGAAAACCTCCTCTAATTCTGATCTTTTTGATAAAAGTAAGTTTGAGTTTGATAAATGGTATACGAATTCCAAGGTAAAAACTCAGCTAAACAAAATTTAATTTTATTTTGGTACCTTATACCGGATCGTTTGGACATGTACGGTTACGCTTATACTTTTTTTTGTCTTTTTCCGTGGTTTTAGATATAAGTGAGTTACAATTTCCCAAAAGAAAAATGTTCAAGCTTCTTAAAAATGTTCCCGATTACAACAAAAAAAATTACATTTAACGATCAAGGACAAAAATAAACTTTTTTTTTTTGTATAACTAGTGTAGAAAATTAAATGAGTTAAAAAAATTGATTAAAAACTATTAAGTACAGAAGTACAGAAATACTATTACATTAGATCTTCACTCAGAAACACTTAATTGTCATGGAAAATTACAAAAGGTTTGTTTTCCTGTATTTTTAAAATGTAATGTTATGATATACTTTTTTCATGAATTTTGGATACATAAAATCAGATAGCCATAATAAAAACGAATTAATGTATTAATCTTAGTATAGATAGCAGACATGTAAAACAAAGTCCCAGTACTATCACCTCTGCTTATATTATTGTTTTGATTATTACTGCTTTTACCATCGGAAAAGTAAATGGAAAAACTAGTAATCAATAAAAACTTATTTATAACGAGTTTAGTTGGTTGCGCCTCATCATTTCACTAATTTTTCTGAATTCATAGTCAACTTTCGTGTGTAAGCAAATACATGAAATGGTGTTTATGCACACACGTTCTACTAACATTAAATGATTACCTTAAAATGGCTAACGACACGATAACACAGTATATGAAAAATTGTCAATCAAAACCACTCTTATTACTAATTTGTAGTTGTACAAAAGTTCTTACCTTGAGGCATGCGATTCTAGCGTCCAGCGATGGACGGCGCTTCACTTGATTGCCACTATTCCCTGGTGGATTATTATTGTTGTTGTTGTTGTTATTATTGGAGGCGGCAGCCGCTGCAGCAGCGGACGTGGATGCTCCACCCGAAGCCGCTGATCCTGCAGCAGTGGTGGTGGTCAAGTCCTGTCCGGCCGACATGGGAGCCACATAGTTGTGGTTGATGCGACGCTGAACGGGACGCGTGGTGCCCGTGTCCTCGTTGATCTGTTGCATGGCATGAAAGTCCACCGTGTAGGTGCGTCCAAATGTGCTGAGACTGATCTCATCCTCGCTACTTTGATTGGCAGCCTCAATTAGGCGCGAATCGATCGTAGAATAGTTGTGCCAAGAGCCACGATCATCACGCCACTGCCAGTGCACCTGATCCTGAGTGTTGAGCGTTGGTCGGTCCAGTAGCGAGTCCACAGCGAAAATCCCATCCAAAGGTAGACGCGGCATGAGCTCACCAATGAGGCATGTCAGTTCGTACAACTCTGAAGGTGAGCGAGCGATCAGCTCCACATGCGTGGCACTGGCAGCAGCCGGCTCTGCATTACCGGTGAGCAAATAGAGCAGGGTGGCGGCTATGTCGTTCCGGAGCAGCGAGATGGCCAGGTCGGGACAGCTGCCGCACATCAGACTCAACATCCGGACGACGGCTGTGAAGGTTCCCGTGTTCAAGATGGCCGGTGTGACCAGCAGCAGTTGCTGGCAGTTCTTCAACAGATCCGGACTGGCGATCTGCTGCAAACGCTGACTGTCGTGCTGGAAACTCTCCACCAGGCGGCAGAACGCCGAGCACACACTCTCCACACACTTCTTGTCCTGCTGCGACAGCAGGCGAGCCAGTAGCGGCAAGCTCTCCGCCACAAAGTGAAATTCCTCCGGATGCATATTCAGGCAGCAATTCGCAGCAATTGCCAACGCTGCCCGCTGGGCGACAATCGAAAAGAAATCCAAGTAGGTGAGACAGGCCGAGATGCCATTTGCCTGCAGGATGGCCTTGTTGTGGCGCCGGGAGAGAATCTCCAAGGCGGTCAGGCTCTGTTCCGCCACATCCATGCACTGGATGACCTGAAGTTTCTCCAAAAAGACAGGCACCGCCTCAACCACGGTGCCCGAGGATCGGGGCAATGCTTCCAGCATGTAGGCCAATGCCCTGCACGCATTGTTCATGATATCAAAGTTGTGCTCCATGCGTAGAAGTTGGATTAGAGCGGGGACCACCTGCTTGATGGGAAAACCGGCGAGAGTGTCCTCGTTGCCCATCACCAGCATTTGACACATTTCGATGGCAGCCTGCAGCTGCTGGGATTCGTCGTGCGACTGCAGTCCCTGCAGCAATTGATTGGCCTTCGAACTGCTGCTGTTGCCAATGGTGCGATGAAGGATGTGCGTCATCCTCGGCCCAAGTGCTCCGAACAGGTGAGGCGGCAATCCGCGCGCCTCCAGCAAGGCCTGCAGACGACCCACCTCGCTGTCATCGCTTTCGGAATCGGCGCCGGCGGCGGCGGCAGCAGCACCACCCGATCCGCTGCCATGCTGGCCGGCACCACCGCTCGTGCCGGTGGCTGTGGGTCCTCCACCGCCTGGAGTCGACCCTGATCCCGGCACAGTCACATTGTTGCTGCTGCTGCTGCTGTTGCTGTTGCTGGCTGGTTGGCCGGCACTGCTGTTGTTGCTGCTCGTTGCGCCCACGGCGCTGCTGGTTCCTCCGGGTGCAGATGATGACCCAGTGGCTGGGGCAGCTGCTGTGGCGCCTCCTCCTGCTGGTCCTCCTCCTCCTGCGCCGGCACCTCCTCCTCCGACGTCACGGGCGGCACTCAGAGCGGCCGCTACAATGCTGAGATTGGCTGAATTGGCACCTAGACCAGCGTCACGAAGAAAGGCGAAGAACTCTTCATTAATATTCAAATTCGACATGACGCACGGAATCAGTCAGTGGTTAGAGATTGGGGGATTTTATTTGAGTGTAAGTAATAAACATAAAACGAATATGTCAAAACAGAAAGCAAAGGCTATGAATAAAGTTGTTTGAATTTATTTGACTTCAAAACTAAAGTGGGAAATAAGAAAAATCAAAAAATAACTGGAAAGACGGTAGAACAACGAACAAACATAATAAATATTTCAAAAGTAGAAAGTAAAATATATTTAACAAGTTTAAGAAATCGATTCAAACTGCAAAAAAATATATGCAGATAAAGTTGTAATTGGAAAAAATATATATTTTTTAAATATGTTACTTTTAAGGACTAATACCTTTTAAGGACTAATACCATTAAGGACTAATACCTTTTTAATTAATTACGAAATATAAATCGTTTGTTTTAAACAGTAAATATTTAATGCCAAAGTAAAATTTAAAAGTATTTACAAGTGAAAGTAATCGATTCAAACATCAAAAAATAATATGAAGAAAAAGTTGTAATTGGAAAATATATTTTTTTTAAAAATGTTACTTTTAAGGACGAATACCTTTTTACGATATATAAATCGTTTGTTTTAAACAATAAATATTTAATGTCAAAGTAAAATTTGAAAGTATTTGCGGTTTTCTAATAAAATTCAGTATTGTTAGTGGCGGAAAATGGTGAAAAAGACTAAAACTAAAATAAACGTAGATATACAACATTTTTCTAAATCAAAACTAAAACGGTAAAACTAAATAATCCAAAAGATATAATACGAATAAAATAAAAATAGCAGGTGAAATAACAACAGTGTGCTGCCACCTGAGTCGCCCCTTTGTGATGTGAGAGTGCGTGATTTTTCAGCTTAAGGTGAAATAAAATCAAAGCAAAGCAAAATATGGGTGGAAATGGGCTGGAATAGGTGCATATATGTATACTGAACGATTTGGATTATACGTTTACCTGGCGTTATTTGCTGTCCACCTGCATGCGGCGGTCCACTTGGCGGTTGCTGTGCCATCAAACTATATGTTAAAGCATCCGAAGCTGCTAATCAGACAAGTGAGTCGGAGACAGAAAACAAAGCAAAACAAAAACAAAGATAAGTTCACTATTATTTTGGGTTCAGTTCATTTAAGTTTTTTGCTGTTCAATTATTTGGGCAGACACCGCGAGCAAAGCAACGCAGGGATGAAGGAGCGAGAGACAGAGAGAAGGGAAAGGGAGTTGTTTGGTGTATTTTTGGGGGGTGTGTAATATTTTTTTGTTTTTTTTTTCAGTGCAATATGGGTAGTAGTATCACCTAGACTATAACCAGCACCAAAAAAGATAAAGAGTGAGACCAAGAACCTATAATTTGTACAATATTTACGATCATGTTCGTTATGATTCTGATTCTCAATTGAAAAAGTACATTCTCATGGCAGAGCGCTCCTTCTTGAGTGAACAATTAATACATTTCGTTACATTTTGAATTGAATCATTTGTACATATTTTACCAGATTACAAATTAATGACACCACAATCTCTGTTTTGTTTTCAATTCCAAAATTTTTCGATTTTGGCTAAAATGAAAATGGGAAAGAGAAAGAGACCATGTTTCGGATTCAACAAAATTCATCCGAAAATTTTAACAAAGCCACTTGCTAAGTCTTATATAAAATGTGGGTCAAAGTAAACGTTTTTAGGAATAAATAAGCACGAGATAAATGAGTAATATACACATTAAATAAATTGTGTATAATATTTTACTCTTAAAGTAAAGATTTGTAATCTTTTTTTTACAACCTTTCTAATATTCAATTTATGACAGTATCTTTTTGGGAAAGTGAAAATCACAAACATATGAGTATAGCGGACCACATTTAATTTGTAATATCGAAAGCCCTAGAGTACGTGTGTGTGCTGACCTTATTACCTTATTAAAAACCATGCGCAACCTTTTGACAAAACCATATAGCCTGTAGCTCGAAAAGCAGCCAATAAGCGTTTAAAGTTCTTTGTCAAAATTAACAATAACTTTGTGAATTCTGCTTTTAACCCTAATATTAACCGATTCTAAAAATGATTGAAGAGGCCTTCGCCTCCTGATTTGCTTGCGGTCTCTGGTCCATTCATCCTTTTTTTTTTTGCTCCTTCTTCATCTTCTTACCACTGGTATGTGTCACTTTGGGCCCCTGATGTATTTGTTGTGTCAGTTGTTGTTGTTGCTGTTGTTGCTGCTGGGGATGATTGCTGCGATAGCTGAATAAGAATCCCGGCTGTACGAGCGTAGCACGCTGCTGCTGATGCTGATGTTGCTGTTGTTGTTGTTGCTGCTGCTGATGTAAAGCCAAGTGTTGCTGTTGTTGTTGCTGCTGCTGCTGCTGTTGCAACTGTTGCTGATGACGCACGGCAACTACAACGGTATTGCCGCCCACCTGTTGGTATTGATAGGTACCAGGCGGTGGCAGCAATTGCTGTTGTACAGCAGCAGCAGCGTTGCTATGTTGCTGTTGCTGCTGGTGGTGTTGCTGCTGCTGCTGCTGTGCTGCTGCTGCCGAACTCACACAAGAACCCGTCTTGCCACGTGAACTGCGTCGCAGTGAGGAGTGTTGTTGTTGCTGCTGCTGCTGCTGCTGTTGTTGTTGTGGATTGTACGCAACCTGTTGCTGCTGCGGGGGCACAAACGTGGCCGCTGTAGTCGCTGTTGCCGGCGTGTAGCGTGTTAGCTGCGGCGGCGGCGGCGGTTGTTGCTGGTAGAGTGCCGGCGGTGGTCCTGCCCCTGTGGAGGTAAAATGGTGCGGTGGTGGTTGATGCAACACGGCCACAGAACTATGATAGTAGTGCGGCTGCGGTGGTTGCTGCTGCTGCTGCACGTGTTGCTGATGCTGATGCTGGTGTTGATGGTGTTGCTGCTGTGCAAAATAAGCGGCAGCAGCAGAAGCTGGGGGATAGTGGGCCGCCGCTGCTGCTGCTGCTGCTGCCGCTGCTGCTGTTGGTGTCACAAAGGAAGACAAGTGTGCAAACTGATGTGTGGGCAGCAATTGAGGTGGCTGTTGTTGTTGTTGTTGTTGTTGTTGGTGTGCTTGTTGTTGCGAAGGAGGTTGTGGCGGTTGTTGTTGCTGCTGCTGCTGCTGTGGTGTCAAGGCATATGGCGTAGTTGTTGTAGCCGTCGTGAGGTGCGGCATAATGCTGTAGTCAACAACGTTGTTGCTGGTGTTGCTATTGCTGCTGCGCGTGGCACGTGGCCCTCCCCCTCCGGCGCCTGGCCCCGCCCCCTGTCCATGGGGGGCGGCACGTTGCTGATAGCCGGACGACGTTGTTGCTGATGTTGTCGCCCTTATAGTGTTTGCTGCTGCTGATGCTGCTGGTGCTCCTGCTGCCGCCGGTGTGTTGTTCTTGGTTGTTTTAATGGTGCTGCTGGCACGTTGTGGTTGTGGTTGTTGTTGTTCTTGTTGTTCTCCTTTACGAGTCAAATTTGGTTGGGGGGTGTGAGAGTGAGAGAGAATAGGGAAAAGGGAGTAGAGAGAGAGAGTAGTGGGAGACAACAGTTAACAGCTTTATTTATTGGTGTTTTCAATCTTTTTTTTTTTGGGGGGCTTTTTTGTTGTTATTATTTTCTTGCAGCTACACTACTTGAGTTAGTTTGTTTGGCTTGTTTATTTTTTTTTTGTTCATTGTTTAATGTAATGCAAAAAATATTATTTTGAGCGCTGTGTGTGTTTGGCTTTCAAAAAGGTAATGACAAGGGGAAATCAGGAGAGGAGACTGAACGACCTTCTGTCGCTGACAATGATGATGTTGCTGCTGTCGCTTCTGGTGCTGCAGTTGCTGCTGCAGATCTCTCTCACACTAAACTAAGCACACGCACACACACGCACCCGGCCGTGTTCTTATAGTTCTTGTTCTTGTTCTTGTTTTTTTGTTTAATTCATTTATTCCCCTTTGATGAATGTTTAAGCTGCACTTTGTTGTTGCTGCTGCTGCTGCTGCTGTAAAGTTGTTGTTGCCGCCTCTGCTACTGCTTTACTCTCTCATCTCTCTCTCTCTCTCTCTTTTTCTGCGCTGCACAAAAAGTTGAACACAAATCACACGCCGCCTTTGTTGACACCACAAATACATTCGAGATTTCGCGTTGGTTTATTGTTTTTGCACAAAAACAACAACATCATCATCATCATCATCAACAACACAAGCATCAGCAAGTAAAATATTTTTGGACTCAAAAATCATATGATAAGAAGAGATTTTTATTTAATCACACTTTCATTTTAGATCAAAAATTATGGTAATTTTTGTTGGCTAAATAAAAAGAAATGAAAACAACTACATTTGCAACAACAACAACGTGCAAAATAAACATTTCTTTTTGGGTTTTTTTTTTTTTTTTTGCAGGGTAAAAAATGGTATGGGGTATTTAAAATAATCCAACATCCGATTCGAAACAATAATATTTGTAAACTATTGCCAAAGACGCCTAGAGACACACGTTGGTCGATCTATTTGACGCCCCCGCATAAAATAATAATTCACTATGACACATAAAATAAAACCCTAATGGGTAGGATTCACTGTTGGCTTCTTGCATAAATTATAGATAATACAAATACAATGTGATCGAATGAGGGGTTAAAATTATAATGAGGGCGTTTCTTTGCGTTTTGATAATTGAGCATAAATGAAATGAATCAATATAATAAAACGAATCTTGGGGTTGGGTCAAAAGGGGAATGAAATGGAAATAATGGTTGTGGTTGTGGATGTGGTAAATTGGCAACAGGTGACAGCACAGCCAAAGTTGTGAACTCTTTCCCTGTATCAAAGCTTACTTTCAACCATAAAATGTAAGTTACATACATACATGCAATGCAATTGAACAAGCAAATATAGTAGAATACTCCGTAACTAGATTCACTGACTACTTTTTAATCAGCGCAAAATTTTATATACACATGTGTATATACAGTATGTATATTCTTGTTCCACACGTCGCAATGTACGAATTTATACTGCCAGCCGATCGTCTGTCGTTGGGCATATTTGAGTGCGTTGGCATTCCGAACAATTTGCTTTTTATCAAAATCACAAAAAAAACACTACAGTAGACATTGGGGAACGGCGACAAGACGAGGACACTTCGTAGAATAAATGCTTCGTCAGTGTATAAGTATACATATTTTTTGCTACTGATAACAAATGCGCAAACTGATAGACAATAAAATTCACATTATGCCAGCCAGCAATACGAAGAAGTGCAAATCATCTTGTGTAACCAAAAAGGAATGGACACAAAATTTAAATTTAAAATGCAGTCTTTATCTTGGCTCTGAACTTGTGAAATTCTAAATTAAAAGAGCACTTACGCGCAATTGCCGGATTTGGGTAAATATTTTATAAATATTGTTATCAGCTAAAAGCTTTTTGTGACAAAGATTTTGAAAATGCCTTCACTTTTACTTTTGTGCGCATTTTTAGTTAGGTCTTGTGAATGTTTAAATCAATTGTTCTAAATATTCACCATTTGTACGAAAAGGAAGTCAAATTGCTCTATAAAACTACATCATATGTATATAAATGGTAGTAAGTGGTATTAAAATAAATAGAAAGCGAATGTTAATGATTGGGAAGTTTAAAGTAAATAATGTTAAATTGGGAACTCATAAATGTAAACTATTTACAAGTGGTTACCGAAATATAAAGGTCATGGTTGCTACTCTACACTAGGTATACAACAAAAACATCTATTCACATACATTACGAATAATATACAATGGGAGATGGATGCAGCAGAATGCTATGCGGTGGAATAGTAATCCAACGAAACTCACCACCAAGTTCACCAATCAACTGCTGGGCGAATTCGCTCTCAGAGAGATCCTCCTCCTCGATGTCCTCGTCCTCCTCGATGTCGTCGTCTTCCTCGTCGTCGACGTCCTCTTCCGTTGTGATCTCGTCCTCCTCGGCAACGATCTGGGCGTCTTCCTCGTACGACGAGTCGGCTGAGTTTACGATCTCGTAGAAGCCCACTTCCTCCTCCTCCTCCTCTTCTTCCGCTTCCTCTTCCTCGTCGTCGTCCTCGTCCTCGTCGTTGTCGTCCTGCACCTCCGGTTGGCCCTCCGCCTCCAATTGACCCTGAGTGTGGTTTACTGCTGCCTCTGTGTGATTCAGAGCCGCCTCAAGGGTCGGCAGCTGGTCCTCCACGTCCAGATTCCCGTGCACCGGCTGCTGCTGCTCAGCTTCAGCTCCAGCTCCAGCTTCAGCACCAAGTCTTTCGGCTCCTGCACTCTCTGTGTCCAGCTGATGATTCTGCTGATTCTGCTGCGAGTGGCGCAGGCTCTTTCTGTACTTGCTGTTCGCACCCGGCTTGCTGCTGCTGCTGGATCCGGATCCCGTTGATCCGTTCCGGCTGGTGGTGGCAGTCTCCTCCGGCTGTCCCAGGTGCTTTTCGGGCTTGTGGGAGGAGCGTGTGTGGCTGACCTTGCGCGTTTTGCGATAGTAGTTCAGCAGATTACCGCTGCGTCCGGCACGAGCAATTGTTGCCCCTCGTTGGGGAGTGGTGTCGACCACAGCTCCCGATCCTCCAGCACTGGCCTTGCGCTTGTTCCGGTTGCTGGCCGGAAAGCTGCTAGAGCTGGCACTGGCCCGGATCTGGTGGTGGTGGTGATGATGACGCGCCGCAGCCGCAGCGCTGCTCGTACTTGGCAGCTCCTCTGGGGAAATGGTCTTGGATCGCGTGCGCTGAGCAACACAATCTCCGGATGCCTCGCGAGGCGTCTGGTCGACGCTAACTGCTGCTCCTCCGGCGACTGCTGATCCCAAGGACTGCTGCAGGCGACGTTTCTTGAGTGGCGAACAAAGCTCCACCAGCTGATCTCCACCGGGCGCCGCTGGAAAAGGCATCGGAGAAAAAAAAACAGGTCAGATTTGGTTTATTACTTCGACTCAATCGACGGGCTTTTAAGTGTTTTTTTTGTGGGTTTTGTACGGATGGAAATAGAGGAAACGACTAACTAGTTATTAAATTTTGACAAACAAAAAAATACACAATCATAAATTTAAAAAAGTCAAAAAGTCAAATAAAATTCTCTGTCTATGTTTTTGAACTTTTTAAAAAGAGGTTTTTTTTTTTAAATTTTATCAGTGCTTAATCCTATTCGGTAGTTTAGTGCTTTAAACACACTACTTTAAAAATTTGAATATTTCTATTATATTAAAATCCAAAAATGTTACATGCAACTTTAATAATCATGTAATTGCCTGCCTTAAAAAAGACGTTAGAAATTTTATCAATAACAAGAAATAAAGCAAAGTTTGGAAAGGCAAAGTTTAAATACCATTGAAGTTTTTTAAAAAGTAAAATATTTTATAATATATTTATTTATAAACAATAGGTTTCCAATTAGAGTCCTGCATGAGTGTACACTTTGGGTCATTTGGGTACTCAGTTGAAATTTAAGTTCAAGTAAGTGGGGTGTTTGTTTTCAACATGACCTAACCTACCTGACCCAAATAAATTCAGTTGTTTGGGTTTGGGTAAAAGTTTAACTAAACTCAAACGACTTAGTTCAAATGATTCTTAGGTAACTAAGTTAAGTTTTAGGTTTACCCATTTTTATTTCCATTCAGCTAAAGGCTGCCAAATAATTGCCATTACAAAACTATCTTGAACTTTATTTTTCAAAGCACCGAAACTGACTCGCAAATTCTTGTGGTTTTAGGTTTAATCAAAAAAAAAAACAAAGCAAATATTCCCCCACAAAAAAAATCTGAGTCTAGGTGGCGCCATCTGTCGAACTGCATAGCCAACACTAAAAGCTAAGAGCGTGCAGCACCCCCACCCCCTGCTAACAGTTCTGTCCTTCTCTCTCTTTTTTTCTCTCTCTCATCTGAGCATTGGCAGTAGCAGAGGTCTAATAACTTTTAAAATAATAGCTCGATTTTGAAAATGTTTGTGTCTACTGATAGATATGAACGACACCCACACACAGAATCCAATCCTATATTAATACAATGTCTCAGAGTGACGTGACAGAGGTGTTTACTGTTTTGTGGGCTTTAGAGTGGGCCTGGAAATAAACGTTTTGAAATAAACTTGCGCTGCTTAAGAAACGCTGGAATCTGCATGCCTAATCCCAAATCTATAGCTTTTATAGTTTCCGAGATATCGACGTTCATACAGACGGGCATGATCGACTCGGCTATTGAGCCTGATCAAGAATATTTATACTTTATGGGGTCGGAAACGTTTCCTTCCTCCTGTCAAATATTTTTCAACGAATACAAGATACCCTTTTGCTCTACGAGTAACGGGTATTAATAGAAAAACATATCGTTTTCGAAAGAGGGCAACTTGGCGATTTAAAAATACACAAATGTACAAAGGTTGAGAAACATTAAGCTAAACTTTAAAACTCGCCACATCATATATTATAAAATATTCGGATACATATTTAAATATTTTGTCAACTGTCTCGATCTGATGTTTTGCCTAGTACAGAGAGTATTGATATGCAATTTGTGACAATAGTGTATAAGATTACGAGATCATAGAACTTCATAGACAAGGTCAGCAATCCTCTAATTTATATAAGCAAATTTATTTTATGCCACTTTTACACTTGACACTCTGCCAGGGAAAATATTCATATCAGAAATATTTTACTACAGCGGAAGGAATATCAATACCAAGCAGTCAGAATTGGTTTATTGACTGTTCGAATACTGGTTATTAAGAAAACTCACATTGGTGGCTACTGCGAGTGTGGTTGTTGTTGCTGCTGCTGCTGCTGCTGCTGCTGGCGGTGTTGCAGCCGCTGCTGTTGTGCTGATGATGATGATGACGCTTGCGGCTGCCGGGTGAAGGCGATTGATCACTTGAGATCGGGATAAAGTTGGATGCTGGCGATGATGGGGAACGAAATGCTGCAGTCGTGCGCTTGGAGATTAGCGACTCCTTGCTGCTGTTGACTGTTGCAGAGGAGTGGCGTCCTTGACTGCGTGATCGACGACTGGAGCTGGTTGCAGTTGCAGTTACAGTTGCAGTCGAGGTGGCGGCTACTACGGCGACGGAGGAGCTGACGGCAGGACCTGATGATGTTGCCGGCGTGTTGCGTTTCTTGCTTTTGCTTGCGTTGTTGTTGTTGTTGTTGCGTCGCCGGTGGGACGAGTGATTGGATGAAATTGTGGTATTGGACGCACCGATATTATTGACCAATGTCGCTGTTGTTGCTGTTGCTATTGCTGTTGAACCACCGTCGTCGTGCTGCCCCTCCGTCAATGCAGAGAGCGATTGACTTTTAACGGATTCGGCCATAGACGACACTTAACCGCACCGGCATCGAACACACTTAACATGCCAACACAACCAATAATTGAATATTGATCTCGAAATGTTTGCTCTTAATCGGTCCGACAACTACACCATGAAAATAGTCTCTAAATTTATATTTAAATTCAATTCACTTTTTGTCTTTTATCTCAATTACACCATCATTTCAAATTTACTGTTTAAGTCTCTTTCACTTCACTTCACTTTTCACAATTTTCCTTGCTGATTTCCTTTCTGCGTGCTTCCTTGGACAGAGTTTTGTGCTGCAATAAAGAAGAGAAAGATACGAAAAGGGTATTAAAACAATGTGACAAAATAGTAAAATAGAACGCATTTTATGTGCACGTCGCAATGCAAACAGAAACAAAGGCCACAAAACCAAAAAGTGGAGGACCCGGATAATATAATTTCTCATGTTAACTCGGAAATTTATAAAAGAAACTTAACTTTTTCTGTTTTTACTTAACGAAATAATGTTTAACCCCCTAAAAGAATATTATGATAAACAGTAAGAATAATGGCGAGTTATTTCATAATAATTAAAGTATTAATTTGTTTTGTGGTTAAAATGTTTACACATTATTTTCTTTTTGCAGTTCTTAGAAATTGTGTTAACTTTCAATTCGTATTTAGTTTCGCCATTAAATTCCCTAAATTAGTTTGATTTTGTTTGGCTATCAGTGCAAGGCAACTCGCGACCTAAAAATAGTCACAAAGGAGACGGAACCAGATAGAAGAGTCTATTCTCACCCCCAGGAACTCGAATATGCAGAACTCAAAAATGCAGAGGAGGCAGCCAAGCGAAGTGATCGGGGCACAGACAGGAAATGCTGAAACGTTGAAGCGCTGACTTCTGACAATGCCGAGTGGTATGTACATACATATGTACATACATATGTAGGTAAATCCCAAATGGAAGAGAGGGGCTGAAATTGTGAGCTAGTAGTAACAAAAACTCACAAGAGATAAGGAGCAATATGGAATATCGCACTCGTGGGACTCTCAAGTGAATGTGAAAACCGGCTCAACTCAACTCAGGGGTAGAGATATAGAGAATGAGAGAGGCAGGAGAGAGAACGGAAATTGCTAAAAGCCAAATGCACAAAGGCAGATTTTCAGCCCTGTTTTAAAGGACAGGTACTAGAACTAGCAGACAATGGAAAATGCCACACCACATATGTAAGTGGTGCCAAGTATTGATTGACCAAGGAGAACAAAACCATCCAAATTAATTTGCAGTTTATACAGACTCATAAACAATACTCATGTACGGCAAATAAATAAGCAATGAAATTGGATTTAGTAGTCAATTAATTATCGTAAATTAAACTTAAGATGAAACTGTGTTTTTAAGGGATTGTATTACATAATATATTAGATTTTTTTCCAATGATTAAAGAGGAGGTAGTCTTCAGTGTTTTTTTTTGTTATATGTATTTTGTTTCTTATTAAAAAGTTTTAGTTTTAAAATTATTCAAGCGTTTATTCACATAGCATAAAAACAAATAATTCGTATTAAAATTCAGATATCTCGAAACTTTATTTTTTGGTTTGAACATTTTATTTAAGCGCCGAACTTCATTGGGAAAAAGCCATGTTGGCAGCACAGAAGAGCAAACGAAAAACTGATAACGGAAAATACAAACCACCTCCGAAAACATACACATCACCACCACTAGGAAAATACACATATTCAATTCACTCACACACACTTGAGCATTTTGTCAACATATGAAATTTGTAAATAAGTTAACAGCTGTTTGTCAGCAGCAGCCACCGACACGTGCATGCGAGCGAGGGAGAAAATCAAAGGCAGATAGAGAGAGTAAAACGAGAGCGAATGTTTTGAGTGGAAAGATGAGCGCTGGCATTTACACTCGCTCACAGCTGTGTTAATCAGCTGTTCTCGGCCGTTTTGTTTATGTTTTGCCTTTCGTAATGCCCAGCGTGTCCGTGCATGTGTGGGTTGGCTATCTGCCCCTTCTTCCTATGTGTGTGCGAGCGAGAAACAAGTTCTGCGAGCGTGTGTGCGTGAGTTGCCATGCTTGTTTCGAAGAAGATGAAGTGAAAGAAAATCGAGCAAAGCACAGCCTTTTTGCCTTTGCTTCCACTCGCCGAAAAAGATGAGATTTGAGCGTGTTCTGCTTTGTTCTGCGCCCTTTTCGTTCACTTTATGTACTCGAAAACCCCGTCTACCGCGGATATGTATCGCTTTTAAACCAAACAAAATGCGTAGTTTCAAACACGTCTGCCCTTTTACGTTTAGGTTGCTTTTCGACTAACCGCATTGACAGTTCCTATCAAATGTGACAGGCAAACGAATAAAAAAAATAACGAAATTCAGTAACCAAACGTCAAACGTTTGCCAAAGTGGCCAAGCTTACAAAAGCAACAAAAAACGAATACAACAAATTCAGTTCAAGGCCATCGAAACGAAACCACCAACCCAAACAAAAAGACGACGTCAGCGGTTTTGGTTTGGTGGAAAATTAGATGTATTTGACTTTTCAATTGTTGGAGACAAAATTTTCATTTGCTTCTTGGTAGTTAGAGATGGCATTAAGACATACACTTTTATAATATCACAAAAACAAAATTGGCTAATTATTAACGCATAGTAAAAAAAAGTTTGAAACTGTTTCGATGACGTAAAAAATATATTTTAAACTGTTAGTATTTTTATAATAATTGAATGAGCCTTTTTCTTTAGAGTTTGTATTTCCCTAATAAATTTCCGTTTTGTTACCCAAGTTGTTTATAGATACACAAGTTTTTGAAATATCTGGAATCTCCCTCTTTCTTGTTATCAACTTTTTCCTATTTTGATTTGACGATTTCAATATTCGTGAAACAAATCTTTAGCAATATTCTGGTTTCTAGAATTTAGAGAACATTTAACAAAGTCGAGAAGTGCGGACACCATGATAGTTTGCTTGTTCCAAACACCCAATCCGAGCAATATAATCTATCTACATCTATTAGTCTCCACTCGTATCTCCGCCCCACAAGTTTTTCACACCGAAAAGCGCAGACAAAAAAAAAATAATAAGCGAGGCCACAAATGGCAGCGCCTTCATGTAGTGTGCCAGTGTGAGTGTGTGCTGTTTACATAGGTGTGTGTGTGTGTGTGTGTGTGTGTGTGTGTTTCTGTGCGCGAGTGCCAAGCATTTTGCTTTGCGTGTGGCAACTCCAACATATGGCGAATGCCCGTGGTTGTTGCTATGGGTTGTTGTTGCCTTTTATCAGCAATTAAACTTGAAGGGTCTTAAGCAGAAACAAAAACCTTTAATGGAGTCAACATTTATTCAAACTAAATTCTACAAGCTATTATCCCGATATATAAAAAGAAACTAAGTTATCTATTTCAGTCTATATTTCAAACAAAAAGCCGTTAATTAATTACGTTTGTCCTACATCATACCAAATTAGTGATAGTATTCATTTATACTACTATTAAGAATACGACAAAAAAATGTGTCCTAGCAATTTTCAAGTCAATTTTTGGATCTTATTGACAGATAGCAGTGTTCATTTCAAATCGTATTCATTGTTCCGTTAAAATACTAATTGGAGGAAACTACTTAGATTCTACATTTTCAAAAATTAAGTTTTAACTACTAACTTTAAGTTTTTAGGTAAGGAATGGTGGTGAGCAAAAAAGTAAGTTCGACTGTAGTACAATTAAATTATTTCAGCTGACTGCAACCCCCATATGCGATACGAAAGTATGACAACCCTGGCCCGAGCATAATTGATAACAATTTGTGTGTTCATGTGGCAGTGTGGGCTATGGCTATGCCCTACCTCCGTCATCCCTCCCCTTCTCAATTTCCCCTGTTCGTTATGCATTGTGCGTGCTACGTTGTTGGCATTGTTTGTAACTTATTTGAATATCGTTGTAAAGAAGCAGTCGAGCGCATATTGAAGCTGCTCCCAATAGTGCTGCCCTCAAGCAAGTTTTCTATATTTCCCATTTTACTTTCCCGCATAGGTCGACATTTTATATTTTTCTCTTTTCAACGTGTTACGAAACCTGCCTACGCACAGTTATATATGACACTGCGAGAAACAGAGGTCAAAACTATGCATAAGTATCTTTTAAAAACTTTTGTAAGAGTATAGTTTCATTGTCATGTATTTATTAATGAGGCAACTATTAAAACTTTGAATAATATACAAAAAATATTACTTAAAGCAACTCAATATTTGATTGTAAGATTCTGTTTTTCAGATAGATTATTCGAAATTAGGACACGAATAGACTGTTTTTTTTTTAAACTGTTAAAAAATGGTTTTCCAGCTGAAATTATTTTTTCCAAAGTTAATAAAAACTTAAAAAAAGCTTAAAAAAAACAGCTCTGATACATACATTTTAGAATTAACGTTGAAAATAAATTGACAGTTACTCTATCGAATCAAATCGTGTAACACTCCTCCACAGAGAAATTACGTAGTTAAACAGGCGGACGTAAGAACGCAATAGCAACGCCACCTGGCAACCCTAATGAGTGGGTGGGAGGGTGTTGTGGCGGACAACACTGGACATGCAACAATTAAACTCTGAAGGTTTTTTTTAGCCTTTTGAGAATTTTTTAAGTTTTTAGAGGCAAGGTCAGCATAAAAGCATTAAAAACTTGTTTTTAGCAGGGGGGATATATTTATCCAGTAAAATAGACCACATAATTATCTACTTTTATACAACGCGTTATGTACATACGCATACAGACACTTGTGCAACGGCTGTTATATACAGTTATACACAATCCTTTGATGCACTTTTCACGGCGGAAGTAAAAAAAGTACCTACAAGATTTTGTATATGGTGTACTTGACTCGCATTAATTAGGGAGTTGTTTCTTATTAAAATCTTTTGAAATAAATTGACAATTGAGAAAAAGACAACAAAAAAAAAACAAATTTAAAAAAAAAAACGCAAAAGGGAGCACAGGGCGATGTATGTGCGCGAAAGAGAGCGAACGAGGGCAAGCGCATGACGACGGACACACTTACACACACAAAGGCTTACAAAAGAAGGAAGAGGAGGAGGAGAACAAATAAGTCTCAGTATGTACAACAATATAACAAAATCAAAGCGATGAGCAAAAACTTAATGCATACACAATTTGAGCGATTTGCATGCTCTGGTCCACCGAGAAATCCCATTTAATTTTAATTTCAGTCCAACGCAGCGTGATAATACTCAGAATTATATAAACGGCAGCACCTTTTCGGATTCTACACACCATGTACCAGTCGCATCGAGTATATAGAAAAATACAGCCGTTTGCATTTCACTTTTCAGCTGTGCACGCACTCAAATCCAACTCACGAATGATACAGAAGCAGAAACGGCAGAAACACCAGCGGAAAATGGCGACTGAGAGAGCGCGTGAGTGGGGTTGCGCTGCTCGAGTGGAAGAGCGTGACTGCGATATTGACGGTACTGCACTCAAAGCGATTTGGGGGCAGCAAAAATATTAGTCATTAGAAAACATTTTGGTTAACACTGCCCCAATGCAGTTGAATCACATAAATAATTCAAAATAATGTCATCCAATATTTATGAAACGCAAATCACTCAATCCGCCCGAAAACAGGTCACTCAACCCTCGAGAATGAGGTCAACAAACCGCTCTCTCTCACAGGTTTTTGGTTGAGTCTAACACCTTGCATGTGTGTCATTGTGTTAGCCTAATTGATTTTAAACACAAAATATATAAATAAGTTGAAATTCCTGATTTGCTTCCACTCAAAATGGCCGAGTGGCCATGTTAAATTGAGGGGGAACAAGTGAGTGTGACTCTGCCTTTTCCTTTTTGGGGTTGCCCACTTCCACTCGTTCGCCACTTGCTCTCTCGCTCGTGTTCCTTGTACCTGTGTGATGGGCCGTGTTACCGTTTTCTTCTCCCCCCGTCGATCAGCTGATCACGCGCGTGTGAGCACGGAGAAAATGCGTGAGAGTAACTATTTAGGAAATTTCTAATAGGGTCGCTCGCAGTATCAAATGCACTCAGCTGACCTCCTCAAACCAAACGTTTGTGTGTGTGTGTATAAACAACGATGAGGAAAAACCAACAAATCGAATAGAAAAAAACGATAAAGACCAGTTTTCCTTCCGACTTTACATGCTTTGTTCTTCTCGGTTTTTAGTTGTCTAAATATTGAATTCATAAATTAAACATAAATTATTGATATAAAAATCAAACAAAGTTTATTGAAAATGAAGATAAAAGATATAATTAAGTTGAACAGTAAAAGTGCAAAAAAGGAGATTTTCAATGAACCAGCATAAATTTATATTCTGTTTAAAAGATTTTCATACGATAAATCTAAACAAAATTCGTTTATTACGCTTTTAACTTTAAACTTTTTTTAAACCGACTTATTATTTTTATTGTATTGAATATTACTAAAAAGATAAATGGAACGGGTCTGGTGCCCCGTTAGTTCTAATACGAATAGACTTTCTGACTAAATAACAAACTATTGTCTTTTTTATGTCTTTGAAGATAACATAACCTCCTTAACTGTCGGCAGCGTATTATTCGCAGCAAGCTAAAGCAAAGGCAGTAAGTGCAAGTCAATTAAAATTGTGGGCATGTGCATGATGTTTTCAAAATAAATAAAAAAAAAACCAGTAACAGCAGCAAACAATAAATATGCATGGATGCAGCTCGCTCTCTCGGTCACACACATACACATACACATACGCTTATGCAAGTGCAGTGGCAATGCAGCTGAGTGAGTAAACGAGAGGGACTCGCAACGGAGAGAACGCGAAATGAGGCCACGGTTGCTGACGAATTTGGGACAGGCAGGCGGAAAACGACAAAAAAAAAAAAAAAAAGAAGAGCCGCCCCAACTTTCGTTTGCCGATAACACCAGATATCGTAACAATTATTCACGTCTGATAAGTTATACCCTATTTTCACAGAGATACATCCATTAACCGATGGAAGTAACCAACTACCAAAGAGTCACCTTTAACATCCACCATTCAGTGGTGATATGAAATTGCCATATCAACAATCTCTCATCCATTTGATTTTGACATTGATTTTCATAGCCTTAACAGATAAATAAAAAAAATAAATTAAACCAAAGACCTAAAGATTTTCATGTTATTATTATTAAATTAAACCAAAGACAAAGATTTTCATGTTTGATATGTCTCAGAAGAATATTAGACTTTTTTCTTTTTTACAAAAAAAAAAAATTTCAGCTTTAGCGTTTATGACCCTTCAATTATATGCACTTTTACGGGGGTGAAACAGGAAACTCATACAACCAAATTCATTAAAAATTGTATGTGTATCAAATATACATTCACCCGAAATTGGTAAAAAAAAAAAATATCGTAGATTCCCTAGAGATAACGATATTTTTATCAACATCAAGAGTCTATGCTTAAAGTAGCCCACTGTGTAACGGTAATGAATTTACCAAAACACATAATGCTTCAGATATAACATTTGTATGTAACGTATTAACTCAGCATCGGGATAAATAGAAAATAGATCAGTATCAAAAAACATTTATTTTACACTAATACATAAGGAAATAAGCCATTTTGAAATCCGATTTTAAACTAAATACAAACAGCGGGCAAAATAGAATGCAATACTACATCCTGTCGCACATCGATCTGCAGATGGATGGAATGGTCGCGATCGATCCCAATGGTCAGTTCATCGTTGGCGACTTGCAGAGCTCCAAAGAAGGCGGAGGCTTTTCGTGAATCCACCGAGCAAGAGGCCTCCTGCTGGGAACCTGACAGAGATCGGATCAGTAGTTTCTGGAAACGACTGGTCACGGTGGACATTTCAGAGGTAGCAATGACATTGAGTTCGCCATCAAAGTTGACTTGAAATTCCAAGCTGGGCGATACATTTTTAAGTTTATCGATGAGACTTCGCAGCAATCTTAATGTTGGCAAACTCAAAATCAATTGGGAGTTTGGAACTTTTGGCACAACATAAGCAGACCAATCGCTGGCCGGAATTATGGTCACTGGAACATCGTGTACCACTTCTCGGGCTTCTGTAGAAGTCGACAAGAGCACGGAGGCTATAACCGAAATGCAAGGAAACTGAATCCTCTGCAGCTTCAATTTGCAATTGTTAACGCCACCAGTTCGGAGCACAGACAAAGCTCTTCCGAGACTCGCCGAAGACATGCTCAAAACTATATATTCCTGATCCGGTCGGGCTGCCTCCATGCGATACTCCGGAAAGTACTCCTCAGCTGCAATGCTCGCCCACACCAATGGTGATGCCGTGGAGCTCTGATCCTCGTTCACTATGAAGTGCATCTGCCGAGAGCCCAGGATCATCACGCAATCCCTTGCCAGTTTGGCCAATGTGGCCACTATGGCCTGGAATTCTCGCATATACAGCGAATCCTGCATCAGGGCACGGAACTTCATTTTGCCAGCAAAGAACTGAGGATCAACACGAAATAAAAAGGGGAAAAAACAAAACGGAAACAAAAATCAAACACGGCTACCAATAACTGAGAAACTACAATTCTCTGGAGTTTAAAGTTAGCTACAGAGGTATACTTCCAATAACTGAGAAACTACAATTCTCTGGAGATTTAAGTTATGTAGCTACAGAGGTATACTTCAGTTTAAAATAAACTTGATTTCTCATACAATTTAAACTACAAAAACAGAACATATGAAATTTTGGTCAATTTCCTATTAAGATATAATTACTTTTAAGATAAGCAAGATAAGATAACATACAAGATACAAAAAATTTGAAGTAGGCGTAAAACCAGGATGTTTCTTATCTTGAAAAAGATTACTTATACTTATTTAAAGTGATAGTAAACCAGCGGTCGGTACGACCCTTTCTTGCCTGCAGAGTAAGGTTTTGCCGACACACATACAAATACATGTTGGGCTGTGCAGATTTATCACTGTTACCACTGTATTTAACCCTTGAAGACTAAAATAAATTTGCTTAAAAGGTTGTTTATCGTAGTAATTATAGGCAACCACGTAACTATTGAATGGAAGTTCATAGCAAATGAGCGACTTAGAAGGACATTAGGAAAGGTTTTGACCAAACATTAAGTAATTTTAAATTAGATTGAGGGCTTTTTAAAAAACCGTAAGCCAACCTGATTGAAGAAACTTTAGACCCTTCGAGGGGTTAATAAGTATCTGGGGATAGGGTCTCGTTCTCGACTTGCTCTTACACTTTTTTTTTTTTCTTCTCGGACTCGAATTTGAGTTCAATGTACAAAGGCACACACATACACACACACACTGAAAAGCAAACGAACTTACACACTCGCTCATCAATCGCACATGCACACAGCGAAATAAAGAGAAAGAGAGAGGGAGAGGGAGGAAGGTGAGAAGGAGAAGAGGCAAGCAAACAAAGCGCAGAGCGAGTTCCGAGTTGTGTTTTGGCTCTTCTTTTTATTTATTTATTTTTATTTTTGTTGTTGGGGCGAAACGGTGAGCAAAGAGCAGGCTAAACGAAATGAAGCACGCCGTCGTCAGATACAAAAAAACGTTGTGGTTCTCCTTGTACACAAAGTCATCAAAAGGCAGACAGGATTTGTATGCCCTCCAAGTGTAGGGGAAATTCCAGGTGCGGGGGTTGTCGCGGGGGCCACGGCGGCGGAAATCAAATTATCTGCCCGTCTAGGGGGTCAAATATTTCCCTTTACTAGTTCAATCAACCTTCAAGGTTAGCTGGGCGTTATCAAAGGCTCAATTGCAATTGATAATGTAAACGTTTATGCACGTATGTATGTACATATGTACATGTGTGAATAGCAAGCAGTTTGTGTTGGAACATAAGAAATGTAGTATCGCAAGAATTCAAAAATCCCATAAATAATAGCAATAACCTAAGGTGAATGAATGCATGATCGTGATCTACGAGATACTTTTGGTCTTCCATCTTCTTAAGACATTCCAATGTTTTTATAATTTCTGTGTGAAATAAAAACAATTTGTTTTTTATATTAAGGAATAAAAATAAGCGCTTGTATTTTTTATTGCCAATTGGAAACGGCAAACATTTTTCGCTTTTGTTAATTAACAGTTCTGAGTGGGCGATGTATGAACACGATTCCTTGATTGTAAGCAATACAAGCATTACAAGAATAAATTCATAGAAAGAAGCAAAAGGGCAGCACTTTGGCTGTATTGGTGGGGCTACCCCCCATTCGGCAACAGCTGTTTTTTTTTTTCTTCTTTAAAATTGACCTATGACGTCACATTAACACGGACTATTTCACAAATAAGCGAAACCACAAAAGCTTTTTTTTCATCTAGAAGTTTGCTTTCATGACACGATGTTTTGTAGCGTTACTTGCAGAAACCTTCACATCATTGCAACGTGAACAAATTTATATAGAAAATAAAAACAAATGCCGGGGTTGGGGGAAGAAAAGCACAATAAAACGCTGACAAGAGGCCAACAAATTAAACAGAAAATAAAAATGCTGAGAATAAGAAACGTGATTGATATGCTATCTCTGTCACACAGACACACACACACACACACACTTCCAAATGGATGGAGCAGCACCCGCTGAAGTTTGCAGCATAAATAAAAGAGAAAGTAAAAACTTAACAAGATGCGCTCATTCCCCGCCCCTTCCCCTCGTCCAAAAGAAATGGAAATACCAATTCGAAGTAGAATAAAACACACACGCAGGCAGGCAGGCACATAATTAAATACCCTACACAAAAAGCGAAAGCTCATTGGCTTGGGTTAAATAATAGTCTTACTTATTTCTTTACGTAACCTGGAACCCCTCTTCAATTTGATCATCCACCTATCTATGTACTCTTTATATATAAGCTTTTCCTTGTACATTTTCCAGGAAAATGGATGTGACTCCTCGGCAGCCATTGTAAAAATCAATATTACCAGATTGTCCACACAGAAAGTGCACTCAAACACAGTTGCCCTTCAATTAGGATCTTCTTGGAGGCACAAACACTTTTTAATCACGCTTTGCTGAGCCTTTAATAAGCACAAATCTTTTAGACAACGGTCAGAAAAAGTAATGTAGGAAAAGGCAAATGGTCGACATTTTGTTTTCCGTCTCGCTGCTGCCTATTTGAAACGTATGCGTGTGTGAGTGCGTGTATGTGTATCTGGTCTGAACTGGGAGCCCCAAAAAAAAAATCTGTTGGTAAATCGCTTGTCGCTACGCACTGTGCTCGCTTTATGTAAATGCCCTTCAATCCCGATGGCGTTCACCGCAATCGCACTTACCTTTAAACTAATTGCAGTAGTTTTCTCTCAATTTGCACAGTTTTTTTACACTCAGCAGTTTTCACACGCGACGGAACAACAATGCGCACCAGTGTGACCGCGGCTTGCAACGTTAGTTGATAACGCGTTAGCCTATTCACATTATAGTATTTTTTTTTGAGCAATCGGAAAACGGTGAAATTCGAATTCAAACTTTTGCGTATAATTGGGAATTGAAGTCTCCCACGGATGGACTGTGTGGAAAGACGTTATTACCAGGAGTTGACTATTAACAGAAGATACAAAATGGTTCAGTTTACTCCCTATGTGGGTCCAGTGGAATCCTACGATTGGCACGCTAGCGTCAGTGTTTCCATGTTTTCAGACATCGATGTTTTTGGTCATCGATTTTTTTAACAGTTTTATTTTTTATTTATTTGTATGCTTGTTCTTGCTTAAAAAAGTAACTTCTCCACAACAGTGGATCATAGTCTTGTGCGACTATCGCTTTTGTTACGGTAATGTTAAATCGTTGTTTTCCCAACAGAAATTTTAAATCGACGCTTTCGTAACATTTCTGTTAGGGAATTAATGAGAGAGGAGAGAGCGAGAGTCGTTTCAATCGACTAAATCTTTTGTAGAGGTGGAAAACCGCTAAATATCGATGTAACCGATGTTTTAAAAACATCGATGTAACCGAGGTTTTAAAAACATCGATAAGATATCGGTGTTGGCACCGGTGTATCTCCACCTCTAACGTTTCGTCCAAACACAAATGATAATAAAAGTTTAAAGACAGAAATTCTAATTAGAATTAAAAGAAAAAAAGGTTATTAAAATAAAAAACGCATTGTCACTCTTACCCAATTCTCCTATAGAAGTAACCAAATAGAAGCAAGCATCAGCGGCACCCAACTTCTTATCACCAAAAGCGACGAGCCCAAAAACAACAACAACAACAACAAAAAGAAAAAACGATAGCGCAACAAGGTGAGTAAACAATAAACTAAATAAAAGTCAAACTGAGATACTCACTCGAGCTCGTCAATTGCAGTTGTTGCTCTGCGGAATCGGAATCGGAACTTCTGTGCGCGGAGAAAGTCGCGAGAACTTTGAGGTCTGACGTGTCGCTTGATTGCGGGCGATAGAAGAACAGAACAGAAACGGAGCAAAGATGTGTGGCAATCCGTCTGTGGGCAACGGGACAAGGGCGTTGATTCTGGTTGGGGGTTATGGCACCAGGCTGCGACCTCTGACCCTCAGCACACCAAAGCCCCTGGTGGAGTTCGCCAATAAGCCGATCCTGCTCCACCAACTGGAGGCACTCGTGGATGCGGGATGTCGCCAGGTGAGTGTGCATTTTCCTCATTGAGGGGTGTGTAAACCCCTGAGGAAGTATATGAATAATTATCCTTTTTGGCCACAAAACTTTTAGATTCGATTCGACATATAAATAATTGCATTCCTTTCACATACAGGTCATTTTAGCCGTCAGCTATCGCGCTGAGCAAATGGAAAAAGAACTGAAAGTGGAGGCTGATAAACTGGGCGTGGAACTGATCTTCTCGCATGAAACCGAACCCCTGGGAACAGCTGGACCCTTGGCTCTGGCAAAAACCATTCTAACAGCCAGTTCGGAACCGTTTTTCGTGCTCAACTCGGATGTGATTTGCGATTTTCCGTTCAAGCAGCTAGTGCAATTTCATCGCAATCACGGAAAAGAAGGAACCATTGTGGTCACGAAGGTCGAAGAACCCTCAAAATACGGCGTTGTGCTGTACGACGAGAGCGGCTGCATCAAGAACTTCATTGAGAAGCCGCAGGAGTTCGTTAGCAACAAGATCAATGCCGGAATCTACATCTTCAATCCCTCCGTCCTCGACCGTATCGAAGTGAAACCCACATCAATTGAGAAAGAAGTATTTCCGGCAATGGCCCAGCAACAGGAGTTGTATGCCATGGATTTAACTGGATTCTGGATGGACATCGGTCAGCCCAAAGACTTTCTAACCGGTACGCCTGACTGAATCACTCTCTTTCGCCTCAATCTTGATTGCCTAATTGGTCTTATCGCTACGAAATGTCGTCTTTAATTGTGTTTTTTTTTTTTGTTGCCCGCCCGGCTTTTTGCTTTATCTATTTTTGAGGTTCCTGGAACTGCGGGTAAATGTTTGATAGAGCGATTTCTGTTTAACTGAAGTGAAACCCATTAGGCTGATAGTGGGTGAAGCCCAAATAGGTGAGGGAATTGTTTTTTTTTCCGGTTTATGCGGAAAGAAATTCGCTACCTAGTTTCACAAAATTCTGTTAACGACTTATCAACTAAATAAGGTTACATTTTTTAAATCATTTCAGGGGCTATCCCCATTTCAGTTTGAAAATTTTGTTTTTAATGTTTTATTGAGTAGAAAGAAATTGAAAGTTTATGAATTTTTTTTATAACCTACTGTTACTAGAATAAGCAACTTATGTTCAGTGAAATCTTATATTAATTACAAAATATGAACATCATTACATACTCATTTTTAAGAACTACGGTGATCAACGTTAATAGGGAAACAAAAAATATAGACCAGTTAAGAGCAGCGGTTAGGTAAATCATTGGGATGTATTCATTGTAGCTTTTAAATTAATAAGTTGTTTAGTTACATATGTAAAAGCTTATATTTCTCATAGATGTGTTTCTTTTTTAATCTAAATTTTATTTTCACTTTTTCTCAAATTTTTATGTAAGCCTATTGGCTTAAGTTTGTTTTTAATTACTTAAAAAATAACGAATAGTAACCAAGCCAATTAGATATACATATATATATTTAACAAAGCAAAAAATGTTAATATACATTTATTCTTGATTTAGGAACCACAGTCTCAATATTTTTTGTCTCTATGGAAAAGTTATAACAAAAAGTCTGTTTTCTTAAAATTTTTCTCTGTTGAACACAGTAACGTTGGGAATTTGTAAAGCTAAATAGTTTAAATTTGCCTTGTAGACTTTGGCCAGTTTCTTTTCTACTATAGCAGTTTCTTAACTGTTCTTTTAGTGTTTAAAAATAATTGAAGGCTTCTTAAATTTGTATATTCTTCTTACAGGCATGTGCCTTTATCTGAGCTCGCTGCGCCAGAAGCAATCACCCAAGCTGTACACAGGACCTGGAGTCGTGGGCAACGTGCTGGTGGATGCCACGGCCAAGATTGGCGAGGGCTGTCGCATAGGACCCAATGTAACCATCGGCCCAGACGTGGTCATCGAGGATGGGGTGTGTATCAAGCGTTCGACCATCCTAAAAGGAGCCATTGTACGCTCACACTCGTGGCTGGACTCCTGCATCGTCGGCTGGCGGTCGACGGTGGGTCGTTGGGTTCGCATCGAAGGCATCACGGTGCTGGGCGAGGATGTGATAGTCAAGGATGAGCTGTACGTGAATGGTGGCCAAGTTCTGCCCCACAAGAGCATTGCAGCCAGTGTTCCAGAGCCCCAGATCATCATGTGAGCCTGATCTCCAGATCAATTTGTGTAAATACAATCTAGTTTTGTTCACTTCCGCCGTTTCGGTATTCGATGAAGGTGTGGTGCCTTCTCACCTACGATTTGCAATATTCACACGAAGGGAAAAACGAGAAACATTTCCAACAGTTAGCCTTGCTACCTTACTTATAAACTAGAGCTCAATTCCCTTCTTTGACGAAGGTGCGATAATAATACGTATAGTCTGAGCATTGACGCATCAGCTGCAACTTTTTGTACTACGATAAGGAGAGCATAACTTTAATACTTAAAATTCGATACTTTAGTAAAATATACGTACGCTTGTACAACAAAAATCACAAAAATTGAAATTTCAAATCGTTTTTTAATTGGAGCATTGGAACTTTCTGAACCATAAAACAAAAGCAGTTGCTTTACTTATTTTTCAAATTGTATGTTTTCTTTCAATTATTTAAGTACTAAGTGAAAACACAATTGATTTTGTCCAGCGGTGTATATAAAACCACGGATTTGTGTTAATATAAAATTAATCATTGATTTTTTCAAAAATCGTTTAAATGGCATGTGCATGAACAGCTAGAATTTAATTATTATAAAATATCCTTTGTATATTTTTGTACTGCTACATATTTTTTGGTTGGCACTGCTTTGTTAAATCTTTTAAAAAGAAATTGCGCGCTCTAAGCATTCATTATCGATATTGGAATCGAATCGAATAATCCGCCAGTTTTGAGCACTGAAAGTGTTCAACCAAAAAAATGCCTTGCTATTTTCAGCACTAAGCCTTGTTTAAATTAAAAGGTTTCGAAAAATAAAACAAAAACCTCTTAAATTCAATTAAAAATTTTGAATAAATTGAAAAAGATTGTGGAATTACTTGTTATTATTACCTAAATTTAATTAAAAGACTTTTGAAGTGCAAAAAAAATGCTTGAACTTGTTGTTTAGGTTAATAGCATGAACTTGAGGTTGCCTGGCAACCTATAAATTTGTACAAATGGAATCAAAGCCACAACTGAGGTAAGTTTTGAAGAAAAATGTTCAAGTCGCTGGCTCCGATTGAGGGAAACCAGCAGCCACAGCTGCAACTGCTCTGGGAGGACAAGGATGTCAAGTTCGATGTGCCACAATTGTATGTAAATGGGTATCTTATAGCAGTTATCAATATCCACCGGATATATATATATATAAATTATTTTTATTTCCTATTTCAGGCACAAAAACCTACGCAGCGGAGAACGAGTGCTGGATTACATTTACCACATCGAAGACAGTAAGGGAAATCCGGGGGACACGGGTCGTCTGATGGTCACCAATCTGCGGATCATTTGGCATTCGCTGGTCCACAAGAAGTATAATCTGTGTAGGTGCTTGGTTACCACTCCATGCCCAACTTAATGTGCCCATTGCCTTTTTAGCCATCGGATATGCCCGGATATGCAACACCAACACTCGAATTGTTCAGGCCAAGGCCAGGATAGCTAGCCAAGCACTCTACATCCTGGCCATTTGTAACGAGACCCGCTTCGAGTTCCTATTCACCGATGTGTCCGGTGAGACTTCACGCCGGGATCAGCCCATCTTCGCCAGCGTCTTTGATGTCTATCAGTGAGGGAGTCGGCAGCAGTATTGTTCTACTAAAATCTACTAAATGTCTGATTATTATTTCAGTTTGTATCAACGTACTTATCTCTATCGCGACCTGAAGCTGCGCGGAGCCATCGTTCAGTCGGGTCAACTGGTTATCCTGCCAGATGAACAGGTCTACAGCCAGGTGCCGGGAGTCTGGAACTTGTCCAGCGACCAGGGCAACCTCGGCAGCTTTGTGGTGTCCAACATTCGACTGGTGTGGTTTGCCGATGCCAACGAGACTTTCAACATCAGTTTGCCCTATCTACAAATCGAAAGTGTAAGCAATTCAAAAAATTTCTGTACTTAAAAAAGGTTGGCTTAAATAACATTACTTAAGGGTTACTTTATTGCAATTTTTTTGTTTAGAAACTTATTTTATTTTTGAATATCTTAGAGAGAATTTAAATAGGATAGGATGATACTAATATGGAATATATAAGTACATAGGTTTAGGGTACAAATTTATATTTAACTGCTTAAAAGAGGTTGGCTTAAATAACATTACTTAATAGTTAATTTATTTTTTTGTTTAAAAACTTATTATATTTTTGAATATCTTAGAGAAAATTTAATTAGGATAGCTTTAGAACGGACAATCAGACAGAGGGTTACAAATTTATATTTTACTGCTTTGCGGAATTTTTTTTTTTAAGTTTAAAAAGTTGGTTTAGATAACATGACTTTAGGGTACTTTATTCCAATTTTGTTGTTTAAAAACTTATTTTGTTTTTCAATTACTTAGAGAAAATTTAATTTGGAAAGCTTTAGAACGGACAGACCAACATACTGCTAATACCGATCAGGAAAATATAAGTACATATGTAGATTTAAGGTACAATTTTAATTTTTACTGCTTTGCGAATTTTTTTTATATTTGGATTTTAAGGCAAAACAAAGCTTTGTTCGTCAATTGTTTGTTTATTTTTAAGTGAGGACAAAGATGTTTAATTTTTTGTTGTATATATATAAATATTAATTTAAGAATCCTTTAAAAAATTTTTTTCAAAACTATTGATATTTTTTTCATTTTTTTTTATTTAATTTTTTGGCAGCACTTGAAAGAAAAAAATGTGTATTTTGCTTTAAAATGTCAATGTTTTTTATTTGTTATAACCAAAAAAAAAGCTTTATTTTTAAAACAAAAACTCATCGTGATTATTTGTTCACTTATGGTTAGAAAATGTGTAAGCCGTTGAAACTTATTGTACTCAAATTATGAAGTCCTTTGGTTTGTTTCCGTCCAGGAATCTTAAAGATTATAAATCTTCTGCTTACAGCTTCGCGTCCGTGAGTCCAAATACGGGCCAGCCTTGGTCATCCAAACGGCGGAGACGGGAGGTGGATATGTGCTCGGCTTTCGCGTCGATCCCGCCGAGCGTCTGAACGAGCTGTTCAAGGAGCTCTGCTCGCTGCACACAATCTTTGGCGAGCAGCCGAACTTCGGTATCCAATACAATGCCCAGGATGCGCGGCAGCGACTGGCGGAGGCCGCCGAGGAGGCCGCCCAGGCCTCCCAGTTCAAGGTCGACAACTTTGAGGAGCTGGACGAGCGGCAGGAGCGCGAGATCAACACCAAACTGAACAGCTACCTTGCCGAAGGCTGTTTGGGCAAGATGGCAAGTGGATCCAGTTCTGGGCAGGAAGAGCGGCTTCCGGTTTACTGCAAGGAGTTGGGTTTCGCCATGGAGCAAATAAGGGATGGGTACAAGTTACAGGACCTGTGGAACGTCATGCCCACCAAAATGGAAACGATGGAATGAATTAGAGGAAGAAACTGAAGCTGTTAAAAATCTACAAATAAAAAAAATATGTAGAGGTGTTTTTAATAGTTCATTTGACTAAACAAACTCTTTAAAAAAACTCTTTAAAAACCTCAATCTGTTACATATAAAACATGTTTCAAATGAAGAGTTTAAAGTACATCCTACAATAAATTACCAAATGTTAAGTTTTATTTGTAGTTATTTTTTATTGACGCATACAACTCGCTGTGTGTTTAAGTAATTTTGCTTTCGTTTTTTTTGGAATCGCTTGAAATTGTCTTTAGCTTAGGGCTAATTTTAAACATTTTTTTGTTCCGCAAATTTGAAATTTCGTTATTTATTTTCAAACTTCTACTTCTTAATGATATCGAAGATTGGTATAAACTGAGTTTTGAGTTTTTCGGTGTTGTCTGGGTCAAGCAAGTAATTTAAATGGGGCTTCGCTTGTCTTTCGCTTGGTTTTATAAATTAGTTCATATCACAACACACAGTTGATTTGACCGGCATGTTTTTTTTTATATAGATTTCTATATATTTTTTATATCATTGCTGTTCTTACAGATAGATCGTAAGTTTAGATAAAGGTAGTATTACATATATAATATATATTTATACTTGTATGAATGAATTGTTTACTTTGTTTCTAAGCTATAAATTCTAACAAACTTAATTAAAGTAGGAAAATTAATTGTAGTTGTGGCGCTATCTCTCTCTCTCTCTCATCCTGTTCTTTCCATACATACTTAATAGCCTGCCTCAAAGGCGGGCCACATAAACTAAACCGAACCAAAAACTTTGAACCATGTTTGTACATCCATCGCAATGAAACACATACAAATTAAACATAAAATATGATAGTTTCAGTTTAAATATCAGGAATGACTTAAAATTTACACTTTTCTTTTTACAATTAATACTTTCTGCATAATGATTGCTTGTATGAGGGCTAAACATAATCTTTCATTTTGAATATATCATTTTGTATCATATATTATTCGTAGCGGATGCTTTTTGTTATATCAGTCTTGAAGACCAAGCCAGAATTCTGTAAAACATTTACCCAAAACAAAAATATGTAAAGTTGGCATTTTATACTCGAAAACTCAAGCTATATCGGACAATTTTAGATTGCACAAATCGAAACGAAACGAAACAAAACGAGCTAAACAACGTGTACTTTACACGGTTACTGGCTTATCTAACATGTCAACTTACATAAAAAGGAAAGACGCAACACGTACACATAAACAGTAACTAGAACCAAAAGACTTAGAACTTAGAACGAGTCTCCTATGCAAGCAACTCTTTTCTATTGTTGATTTTTGTGTTTTCTTGATTCTGCCATATCGGCTTACGTTCCAATGAGCGAGCATCCAAGCATCGTTCCCTGGAGCTTAGTTGCTGGCGGAGATCTGCTGACGGGCCCGCTGACGTGTCATCGGCGGTGAGGGACGCGCTGCCAAGCCTGCTGATCCACGACTACGTTTGGCGGCTCCCCTTTCAGTGGCTGCCTTGCGTTTGGTTGCGCTTCTCCTGGCTGCTACTGCTGCATCAGCAGGAGAGGTGGTTGTTGTTGTTGTTGTGAGTGGAGTGGCATCTACCACAGAAGCTCCACGACTGCGTTTGGCAACCTCACTCCTGGAGGATGCCTTGCGCTTGGCTGGAGCTTTAATCGCAGCGGGGGATTTGATCGGATCCGTTGGTGTGGGATGCTCCATGATCGATGCACCACGACAGCGCTTGGTTCCGACACCACCTGATTCCGTTGTTTTGCGCTTGGCCGGCGGCTTGACTTGAGTTCCGCCGTCCGCTAAAGAGGTGGATTCCGTACCTGGCGCCTTGCGTCGTCTTTTGGCCGTCAGCATGGGAGCGCGACGTCGACGCTTTGGCTTCGGGTTGGTAATGGCCTGGACAGAGCCTGAGGTGTGTGTGTTGTGGGAGCGGGATCTGCTCCTGCTGTTAGTGGTGGTGGTGGTGGTGGTTGCGGTGATGGCGGTGTTGGTGGTTTCTATATACGGCATCGGCACGAACGCCGACCCTTCAACTGTTGGCAATGTCAAGTTGCTAATGGGAAAAAAAGGCATTCCTTAGACGGGGTTTTCTTTTTTTTTTTTTAATCGTTTAATAAGCCACTCACCTGAGCTTTGGTTTGCGGACAGACTCATCTTCGTCGTCGTCCTCGTCTTCATCGCTATCCGGATTTGCAGCGGGAACAAATTTTGGTTTCTTCAGTTCAAAGCCGCGGAACTTGTGGCTGTCAAATAGATAGATTATGTGAGTGATATGTTTTCGCAAGCAGTCGATTTATTTGTTTATTTCTGATAAACAATTTTATACTTGCAGGCGAGTTTTGGTTTTCAGTTTCGTATGTATACATAACACTAACTCGGTTATCTCGAAAATGAAAACGTTTTGCTTTCATCTATAAGAACACTAAATTAAACAAACTTTGTTTTCAAAGTTCTTGTTTCTTAAGCACTAATCGTTTTTGCTGATCGCTTCTTTTAACTGATAAATAGAGTCAACTAAATAAATAACTAAAGGTTTTTTATAGCAAATAGTATTTAAGTTTTAAAATATATGATATGTGATATTGTTATGTTCCATTTTAATCAATAATACATATAAACAAGGCGCTTCTAAAGGTTGTGCTACTATTTAACATTAGTCTTTAAAATGTATTTTTGTAAGTTTTCAATTAGAAAAAGATATAAGCTATTGTGTTACACTCTTAAAAGGTCGAACTTACAATTAAGGATCTCAAATGCTCCTACTTCTACTACCATTACTTCAATCACTATTTAAATTATGAAAACATTTTTAAAGAATTTCAATCTAGTTAAAATATTGATTCGCACTTTAACCAATGAAGCTAGTGAGACCTTCTTTTGGGCTCCCAGAAAATGGAATTTTATAAAGTGTATCAACTATTTATCAAATATATATGTCAAATATATATCAAATATATATCACTCACATTTTAATTGGCGTTATGGGCATGGGCCGGATGGGCTTGAAGAGGCAGAGGTCCATGAGGAGGCTGTCGGTGCTGGGATTGCGCTTCCGGGCTGCTGCTGATCGATGCAGGGCAGTGGGAGCCACCGTGTAGGTGCGCAGGAAGGCGGCTGTGGGCACCTGGCTGGCCAGTGGGAGAATCGATGCCGTTGGCACCTGGCTGGCCAGGACATAGTGATGGCTCCTCGAGCTGGTGGAGGAGCCCATTAGTCCGCCAGTGCCGCTTAGCTTGCGCTTGAGACTGTGCTCGGGTAGCTTGGGCGCTGCAACTGGGACTGGAGCCACGGGCGTGGGTGCTGACATGACCAGGGCCTTCTGAACCGTGTCCTTGATGAACTCGGTGCCGCGATGCAGGCGCACGGACAGGGTCTTCATCAGTGCACTTGCTGCACTCGGACGGGAGACGGACGCTGTCGTGGGAGTGCCCACACCGCTGGAGCTGGATCCGGCATTGCTGGCCAGCTTTCCGGCGTCGTAGGCCGGCAGACCGGCTGCAGCCAACAGCATCACGAAATCGGGATCGAGATCGGGATCGAAATCGGACTCGGGCTCGGGCTCAGGATGTGACCGGACTGCTCGGGGTGGCTGCACTGCCTCCAACGCCGCAAAGAGGTGCTAGCGCATCAGCAATTGCCCTCACATCTACGCATCCATCTCGACTTGTGGGTTCCAGCTGAAGTTTTGGCCAAAAACTAGATTTCTTTTTGTTTTCCCCGTCGCCTTGCACACTCGTTCGTACTACTACTACACGCACTCGCCCACTAGTACAACCACGCACACATACGCCCGCACTCTCGCGCACACACACACACACACGCACACACTACAGCTCCATTGTGTGCCGGTGGAAAGGACGAGCGACTGTTTATTGTCCTTGCAGGATCTTCTTGGGCCAACTGGCCACCTTGCTGCTCTCTCGCTGGCTCGATCCGCGGTTCCTTTCCTTGTTTTTTTCAGGGGGTGACGGCAATGGCCTTTCGCGAATTCTCTTGCCGTTTTACGATTTTACGCTTTTTTCATTCACAAGCAGCTGTGTTTCGATAGGTGGGCTTATCGATGTATCGATAGGTGGAGCTATGTTTTACAGTGTTACCAGAGGAGCAAAATCAAAGGCCAATTTTACGATGTTTTTTGGAATTCGATATCAGCTTACACATGTTGCTATAGCTATCGGTTTTTTTTTTGATTTGCCCGCCAATTTTAAATTTAAACATGTGCGGCAAAACTCGTTACTGAAATTTGTCTTGCTAAAGAATTTGAAAAATTTAGGGATTCCAAAAATAAACACATCATAAAATTGTATTACAAAATTTACAACTTTTAAACATTCCATAAAGGGAAGGACAAGAAGCTTTTTGATTTGAATTTAGCGTTGTACCGGAAAAATATGTGACTCCTGTATCTAGTACATGTGACTACTCAAAGAATTGGCTGTAGCCAGAAGAAAACTCCCTTAAAATTACAAAGTTTCCTCATACATAATTAAAATTAATTTTACAACTAAAGAAAGATATAATATGATGACGGTTCACTCACTCCATTTCAAAACTTTATTTACATATAATTTGAAAAAAGTTTCGTACAGATATCTTCTCTGCTTAAAATATTGATCGTTGTTTACAGATTTAAAAAAAAAAAAAACTGACTACGTCTTTTACAAGTCAAAGTAAAATAAGCCAAATTTCAAAACCTAAGGTTAGTTATGACCTACAAATATTAAGTAAGCACATTTGATATCAGCGTAGTGGTTCGGTTTTTTGGTCCACGATCGACATTGATAATTTTAAATATTAGAAAAAAAAAGTCAAACATAATTTTAATATGTTAAACTGTACACTAAAATTTAATAATAAGCCCAACACCAATTTATTTAGCTCAATTCGGATTTTATAGTATTAAAATGTATGTCTGGTGGACCCAAAGTTCCCATTTGTTTCACTCCGACTCAGCTCTGACTTTGTTGATTTGTACATTTACCAGGAATAATAATACTTTCACTAAGCTTTAAAATAAAGTTTTATCGCATTTTGCGATTTTTTAAAATGAATAAATGTTGTACTTTGAAAAAGTTTTAA